ATAAGAGATAAATATAGATAAATATAGATAAAGATACTCTCTATTCGATATGCAAAATTTTTATGTTTTTCATGATTTTCATGATTTTTTTCACTCAATTTCCCTAAAATCAAACTCCTTTTCTGTCCTTTTCTTCTTAAAATCCCTTCTCTAATCCGTTTTTCGCAAAAATGATTTCAATTAAATAACTTTTTTTTTCGCTGACAGTCTATTTTTAAAGTCATTTAACGATTTGAGCAAAAGATTAGAGTAAAAATTCGATTGAAAAAGTTATTCACAAAAAAGAATCAGAACAAAAACTGTTTAATTACTATTTCTTATTCTTTTAAAGAAAATGTTTTAAAGAAAATGTTTTAAAGAAAAACTCTTTAATGCCTTTTATTTAAAAGGGCTATTTCGTTGCATTTTAAGTGAATTTGTCATCTTTTATCTAGTACATTTTTCGTGTCGTTTTCGCATTTTATTTCTTTCTGAATAAAGTATTTATATATTTTACCCCTTTTTTTTAATCTATAATCAACCTTTTCTCTTTGTTAAATCATAAAATTCTTGTTTCTTTTTGAAAAGGAAAAAAAAACATTTCATCAAAAACACAATGATGAGAATGGAATTTAGCCTGTCTCTTTCTCTTCATGAAGCTCTCGTTTAAACGCACTCCTTCTAGTGTACTTACCGTAAATACTGTAATAGTACGCCACCCTCCCATAATGACGGTGCGGAGTGTTGCGTAGTCGAGCTTTGAACGAGTTTTTCTCGACACTGGTTTATGCTACAATGCTCGTTTTGGTATCAAAAAAATAGCTGAAATTCAGGGCTTTTTTTCGATATCAAAAGACGGAGCATCACGTAGCCTAATTTTAAACGCATTTTTCTCGTCATCAGTTTATAATGAGGGCCGGAGCATCGCGTAGTCTAACTTTGAACGAGTTTTTCTCGACACTGGTTTATGCTACAATGCTCGTTTTGGTATCAAAAAATAGCTGAAATTCAGGGCTATTTTTTGATACCAAAAACGCATTTTTTGAAAGTACGGGCGCTTTGAAAAAAATGAAATACTAAAAACTTTTGCGACTACGCGACTGTACGAGGGCGGTGGGGTACTATTACAGTATTTACGGTAGTTTCACGCTTTTCTCTTCTGACACTAGCAAGTCAGTACGTTAGAAGGGAAATTTTGAGCACAAATTACAAATCAATCAATATCTTAGTTGATTTTTGAAAAACTTTTCAAAGAAACAGACCGGTTAGGTTTTTTCAATAAATTTTCAATAAATTTTTATTGAAACTTGTCTCTTGAAACTCTGCTCATTCGATAAACCATCACCCTGAAATTTCGGAGTATAAGCACAAAATTTCGGAGTACTAGTATTGCCCAGTATTTTGTCCAGTATTTCGCCCAGTATTTTGCCCAGTATTTCACCCAGTATTTCGCCCAGTATTTTGCACCAAAAATTACCTAATTTTAAATCGACCTTTATCCATTACACTATTGAAATTATTACATTTTTTTTTGTCGAAAATCCTTTAAAAGCAAAAATAAACATTCTATGCAAAGCTTAAATATGATTTTATGCTCATTCGATAAACCATCACCCTGAAATCTTCGGAGTATAAGCACAAAATTTCGGAGTACTATTTTGTGCTATGAGCGTAGAAATAGCGTAATGAAATGAAGCTTTCGAAGCGAAGCACAAAATGTATTTTTATTGAAGCTTGTCTCTTAAGCGGAAGGTTTTTATTAAAACTTGTCTCTTAAGCGGAAGGTCGATGGTTCGATTACTCGGGAAAGACTAAAATGTTTCTTTTTCCCCAGCAAGTTGGTTCTTTTTTGCTTTCACAACATTTAGGGTAATGGGAGTGATAGGTGTAAAAGCCGTAGTGCCATAAAATTGTGTGTTTACCTATTATACTCTTTGTTTGTTTCAAATTATTCTTTTTTTTTTCAAGAAATTTATTTTTAAAAGCTTATCCCTTGAAAAATCTAGAGAAAAGAAAAGAAAATGATTTGCAATTACCAAAAAGATATTCAGCTGGATTATCCCCTTTCCGTTTTTTCCATGATTACGTCTAAAAAAAGGCTTAAATACCACAAAATTCTCTCCTTTTTGATTGAATATCTTTTCTTGACGGGATTTTTGATGAGGCAACCATTTTTTTTTTCTTTCGTGATTAATTTCTCTCTAAATATCGACATTTAAACTTTCTTTTCTTTTCTTTTCTTCGTTTAAATCTATTTTATAATCCTTTTTCCTTTCAACTCTCTTTCTTTTGAAAGGATCGTTTCTTCACTTAAACTCGATTTAACTTTTGCTAAATTATTTTCTAACTATTAAAACCAAATCACTAAAGGCTTTATTCACTATTTACTATACGATCTCTAGACAAAGTTATAGGCCTTTAAAGGGTGACGAGCCGCTCAAAATCCCCGAATTTTTCTCCCCGAAATTGCTTTTTAATATATAAGGTGCACACTTTTGAACCTAATAAAAACCCTGAATCCTTCTTTACTATGATGTATGCTTTATTGAGTTGAATAACTCCAAAAAAAATCACAATAATCACCCAAGAACACCACTCAAAACACACCGAAAAGATAAAAAGATCCCTCAAGAAAGAATCACAGAGGAGTCAAATCAGTTGCTGAAATGATTGCCGAAATGATTGCCGAAATTGCGGCTTTATCCTAGCCAAGGTGGGAATATCACGAGCATGAGCGGCTAAAAGGTTCCACAATTTAATAACTCGGCTAAAAAGAAAAGTTGACGTATGAGAAAAAGCGCCCTTCTCCAGGCGCCCTTCTCCAGGCGCCCTTCTCCAGGCGCCCTTCTCCAGGCGCCCTTCTCCAGGCGCCCTTCTCCAGGCGCCCTTCTCCAGGCGCCCTTCTCCAGGCGCCCTTCTCCAGGCGCCCCGTAGAGAGCCGAATTATATCAAAATATATAAAAATGCTGCCCTTCTTTCAAGCTACATGATCCCTCAAAAAGTTTTAAGAAAATGTTATGCTAGAGATCAGTAAAATAGCTTTAAACAAAAGATATTTTTTTTTGAATACCATTTGTATTTTTTTGAATACCATTCCTGCCAAATTTTTTAACAAAATTATGTCGAATTTTGGCTTAGTCTAGCATCTAGCAAGCTCTCCTTGTCTCCTTGAAGTTGAAATTTTCAAACAAGTTTAAAAGTTCTTGTCAAAGCTCTTGTCAAAGCTCTTGTCAAAGCTCTTGTCAAAGCTCTTGTCAAAGCTCTCTCAAAGCTCTTCTCAAAGCTCTCTCAAAGCTCTTCTCAAAGCTCTCTCAAAGCTCTTCTCAAAGCTCTCTCAAAGCTCTTGTCAAAGCTCTTGTCAAAGCTCTTGTCAAAGCTCTCTCAAAGCTCTTCTCAAAGCTCTCTCAAAGCTCTTGTCAAAGCTCTTGTCAATTCAACCTCCTGAAAATTCTTCTCTCATTTCTGGACCACAGCAGACATTCCGATTTGTGTTTTGAGAGTTAAGATGTTTGATTTGAGAAATTTTCATCAAATTTTGAGATTCCTTGATGGAAATGTTCGAATTTTGGTGGGAAATTTGATAAAATTTTAAAATTTTGTAAGGTTTCCGCCAGGAGAACTTACTTTTTATGGTTTCAATCACGTTTACTCGCATAATTGGAGGGGTTCTTTGGAAACATCTATATTTTCTAAATAACAATGAAATCCGCAGAAAGTTAAGCCCTACTATATATGAAAAAATAATCTCTGTCGCACTAAGCGCGTCCCCTTTGAATATTTAAAAAAAACGCTGAAACACGTGTCTAATCAAATTTCATGTAGTTGTGGCTTCTAAAAAAACTTTTGCAAAAAATGAAGCAGTTGGTCACTGCCGGGAGTCGAACCTGGGTTCAGTGGGGTAGAGGCGAGCGCGCTATCCACCACGCCATCGGGCCAGTGCGAAGCTGATGATAAAATTTGGTTTTCCCACAGGGTATTCGTTTCTGGCAAATGATTTTGATAATTTTTGGAGCTGTTCTGGTTAAAAGGATGGTGCCAAGTCGCGTGCTTTGTGCGCTGAGAAACGCGTCTCCTGTGATGCACGGGTTTCTTCAACTTCTCCTGATTAGCTGATTAGTTGAAAGATTGAAGATGAAAGAAACAACGAGGAGAGAGGACAAGCGTTTGTCAGAGCACAAAGTACACGAGGGTAAAGTTGAGCTTGACTCCAATTTGGGGCGAATTCATTCAATCTTTTCCCCAAGAAATCTTTTCCTTTGCAAAATTTTGCACAAACTTTCTCTCGATTCGATTCTTTTCGATCTTTTCCATTCACGAAATCCTTCCAAATCAATCATTCCATTTATTTTGCACTAGCGTTAATTGATCGTTTCTCTTTAGCGAGAGAGAGAATTTGGTTCAATTTTGTGAGCTTAGAAAGTCGTAAATGGATTTAGATAAAGAAAATTCTCATATCTCTAATTGTTCTTTATTTAAATTTTCATTTTAATCAAATGTTTTCGCTTTTCAAAAGCTTAAGACTAAGAGAGGTAAAGTTTCGAAAGCATTCTACAGTTCTGTTGAATTCTACGGCTACAGTTGTTCTGTTACAGTTGTTCTGTTGCAGTTGTTCTGTTGCAGTTGTTCTGTTCTTTCTTTTCTATTTGATTGTTTCAAATACAATATTGGATTGATTCAAATACAATATTGGATTGATTCAAATATAATATTGGATTGATTCAATACAATATTGACTAAATATAATATTGGATTGATTCAAATATAATATTGGATTGATTCAAATACAATATTGGATTGATCAAATATAATATTGGATGGTTTCAAAGACAATATTGGATTGATTCAAATATAATATTGGATTGATCAAATACAATATTGGATTGATTCAAAGACAATATTGGATTGATTCAAATATAATATTGGATTGTTTCAAATATAATATTGGATTGATTCAAATATAATATTGGATTGATTCAATACAATGAAATACAATATTGGCTTTCTTTACTTCTCACTTAGATATGTTGATACACTATGGAGCTGCCGCATTGTACATAATCACTGTCAACATTGGCATTATCGGCAATGGATGGGTAATTTCGTCTGTGTTAAGGTGAAAGAAATTCTATAAACTCTATAAATTCTATAAATTCTATAAATTCTATAAATTCTATAAATCTCAAACCTATTCAACTCTTTTTTACAATTGAATAACTCCCAAGAAGATACCCAAGAAGGGATTTGTTTAAGGGAAAAAGTAAAGAAAGAACGAAAATAATCGAGAATTTCTAGAAGTCGTCGCCCAAAAACGAACGCCAATCAATCGTCACCATCGGATCGATTAAGGTAAGCAGAAAGGCTTGAAAAAAAAGAAGAAATGAACAATAAAGCCAGTGCAATACATTCACCATTTAGAATGTACATTGCTTGTTTGGCCACCGTCGATTTAACGGTTTTGATGGCGCTCCTCGTACGCACTTTGTACCTATTATTACCAGAAATGCGTTTGGGTAAGTGTATTGGATTGAAATTGACAACGATTTCAATTCAAAACTCATTTCTATTAAGCATCTGAATGTATATTAAGTATATTAAGAAATGATGATTTCAAAACAAATCCTAGTCTTAGTCTTAGTAATAGAAATTCTCAAACAATTTCTTTTTCCTCTTCTCAACAATCTTCAAACTATCAGTCAAGTATTACTTCAGAGAAGTGAATAAGTGATATGATGATGGGGCTAGAGCAGAGCATGATGCGACCGATCATTGTCGTAAAGAAAGTAAATCTTAGAAAGTTTGTAGCAAGATTCTAACAGCGCTATTAGAACAATTACAAGCTCTAATTGCTCAACACAGAGTTCAACAACTCGAACTAAGAAACTCGCCAAAGACTTTAAAAAAAAAACCTTGCAATTCGCAGAGAGATTTATCTGACTTAAAATCATATAATGCGACTCGGATGAACGATAAACTTGTCTTTTTGTCTTTTTTTGGTATATGAATGAAATGATTACGCAAGTGAACAAACTACGTTTCTAAGTTCTAAGTTCCAAAATTTCAGATATAATGAGCTGTAAAGCGGTGTTTCTTCTGGAAATGGCGGTGAAATTCGGCTCGATTACGTGCCTCTCGTGCATTTCAATTGAAAGATATGTGACGATTCGGAAACCCTTTTCGACAAAGGTAGAAAGATAATTATCCAAATCTCTAGGGATCTAAATATCTAGGTATCTAAATATCTAGGTATCCAAATATCTAGGTATCCAAATATCTAGGTATCTAAATCTCTAGGTATCTAAATCTCTAGGTATCTAAATATCTAGGTATCCAAATATCTAGGTATCTAAATATCTAGGTATCCAAATCTCTAGGTATCTAAATCTCTAGGTATCTAAATCTCTAGGTATCTAAATATCTAGATATCCAAATATCTAGGTATCCAAATCTCTAGGTATCTAAATATCTAGATATCTAAACACATCGAATGCCATTTTTTTTGCAAAAATCGAATCGTTTCTAAAAAGAAAAACAAGGTACAAATGCTACTAGCTATCGAAAATTATTCATTTTTCATATCAAATTTTCGTTTTAGATTCGAAAACGCTTGATCCAGCTGATTCCGTTGGTCGGTGTGCTGGTGATGACATCGATCTTGATCGCTATCTTTACAGAGGTTTGAAATTCGAAAAACTCAGATTTATAGCTGTTTAATCAACAGCTATAAGTGCTATAGGCTTTAATTTATAGCTGTTTAATCAGCAGCTATAATCAACAGCTATAATCAACAGCTCTAATCAACAGCTCTAATCAACAGCTCTAATCAACAGCTATAATCAACAACTATAGACTTTAAACAAAACTAAGTCAAGAAAGTACATGAAAAAGTTTTAGATTCAAATTTTACATTATCGAAACATTTTACGAAACAACTTTTCAGACCTACTCAGTGACAGTGACGTCAGAGGCTCGAAACTGTGTGCTGCGATGGCCGAAATCGACGAGTGGATGGCCGAGAGTGGCTGGCATTGTGATCGCATGTGCTTTCACTTTATTATTAGGTAAAAAATGCTCTTCTGCTCTTCACTTTGTACTCTCTGAAACGCAGCTTTCCTCGATTTCTTACTCGATTTCTTTCTTTTCAGCGGTGATCGCTTCAAATTACGGTCAAATCGTGCGGCATGTGCGCCGAAAATTCGCCAAGAGAAAGCAACGGGGTGAGTGTTTTTCTTTTCTTTTTAAAGACAAAATATTCTGTCGAATCACTCGATGAAAGTCTTATGATGAATGCTTTATTCAATGGTATAATTTGTGAACAAAATAACTTGTAAAGCAAGGATTAGATGATAGCTATCGGTGCTTGAGCTTTCCAAAAATTGCCCTCAATGCTCAATGCATTTTCGGGAAATGGGAGTCAAATTTTCATGTAAACTTTTTAACTCATTGATTTCTCTCTTTCTTTTCCATTCTTTTAACATTTTAAATGTTATAATAAGCTTGTTATAAAGATTGTTATAAAGATTGTTATAGAGCTTGTTATAGAGCTTGTTATAAAGATTGTAACTAGCTTGTAACTAGCTTGTAAGTAACTTGTAGCTAACTTGTAGCTAACTTGTAACTAGCTTGTAACTAACTTTCTGGTAACTTAACTAACTAACCGAACCTTATGAGCGCTTATTGATCTCTTTTTAAATGATTCTTAACTCTATGTCACTCAGCTTTAATAAATTTCTCGAATTTAGGAAGAGATTTTATGGTACTTTTCGGTTATACCTCCGCAACTCCAAAATTTGAAAAAACAGTACTATTTTTGGTTAGCGTCCCCCCATGCATCAATTCGTGTATTTATGAATTTAGCCTAGCTTGATGTCGCTTGGGCAAAGGTTTTTGACGTTAAAGACATCGTTAAAGACGTTACACAATTGGCATCAGGCTAGGTTGGATTCACAACAGTCTGCGGTGAATCTAGCCTAACCTAATGCCAGTTCGGCAGAGGTTTTTGCCGTCATTAGCCTGTAAATCATCGATCCGGGTGATAAATTCGAAAATCTTGTCAAGGAGCGTCTTGGTACTGCGACTAGTCACTTCAGCGAGGAAACATTTGTTTGGGTTAGGCTCAGGCTCAGGCTTAGGCTCAGGCTCAGGCTTAGGCTCAGGCTCAGGCTTAGGCTCAGGCTCAGGCTTAGGCTCAGGCTCAGGCTTAGGCTCAGGCTCAAGCTCAGGCTCAGGCTCAGGCTCAGGCTCAGGTTTAGGCTTAGGCTTAGGCTCGGGGGTATAACGATTTTATCGAAAAGTATCGCTTTTATTTAATGCCAAGGTTTACAGCAAGATTTTCACGATTTTTTGTTTGTTTGTAAAGCTGTAACTTGTCAAAAATTCAACTTTTCTCATCGTTTCCTTATTTCAATTTTTGTTTACTTCAAAATCCGTTTATCGAACTTTTTTTGCTCATTTTTTGCTCATTTTTTTCGCACAAATAATGAGATTAGGATTCGAGTCTGAGCTAGAGAAAAATCCTCATTTCTCTGATTATTTCACCAAATAAATGGAATATTCAGTGATCCGATGAAAAGAAGAAAAATTCCGAGATAATCCGATCAACGAATTTTCTTTTGCTTTTTTCGATTTTGACAAAAAAAAAGTGAAAGATTGCAAAGGGTTTTGGGGGGAAATGAATTAAAATGAATAAAGATAAATAAAAATAAATAAAAACGAATAAAAATGGGGAGCGGGACAAATGCGACCTTTTTTTTGCGCACCCGGGCATTTGCGCACCCTTTTTTCCGCACTTAGCTCATTAGCGCACCTTTTTTCGCGTTTTAAAAAAGCTCTAAAAGCTAATATTGACCAATTTCTATTCCAAAAGTTGTTTTTCTAGGTAATTTGAGGGCGTAGAATCGAAATTTTGACATATCAGAGCTTGTGGAACCAATTTGAAAGACAAAACCGCCAGATCAAATTATAGAAAATTGTCGATCTTTCTCTTTGTATAACTCCGTCCGTTCGCTTCCACAAGCTCTAATATGTCAAAATTTCGATTCTACGCCCTAAAATTACCTAGAAAAACAACTTTTGGAATAGAAATTGGTTAATATTAGCTTTTTAGAGCTTTTTACAGCTTTTTAAAACGCGAAAAAAGGTGCGCAAATGGGCAAAGTGCGGAAAAAAAGGTGCGCAAATGTCCGGGTGCGCAAAAAAAGGTCGCATTTGTCCCACTCCCTAAAAATGAATAAAAATCAATAAAAATCAATAAAAATCAATAAAAATCAATAAAAATCAAATAAAAATCAATAAAAATTGAAATACAATCGAATTTCGATATGATGAAATTGAAAAGGTGCCAAGAAATTGCTTGTAAACGTTCTAGTATTTGAAATTCGTTTGATCAAAGTTTCACTGTGAAGATAAATTCCAATTTTCTAGTGGTGGCCAACTCGCAACGAGCAAGCGAGGTAAACGAGCCGCGGTACATGCGAGAGATGACAAATGCGATTATAAGGTTGGCAACAATTTTTGATGTACTTTGTGCTCAAAAAGAATGGAAACATACCCTTTCTAGGGCACTGGATTTCTCATTTCCTCAAAGCTTAGTGCTGCTGAATACTGTGTGCTCTCGAAATGGTAAACGCATTGTTTCTAGCGCACTTAAGTCCTCATTTTCTCTATGAAAGCAACTGGAGAATGAAGAATTCATTGCGCTAGAAAGGTGACGTTTTGGAAATGTTCAAGCACAAAGTACACAGTTTAATTCAAAGCCTCAAAAACAAGAAGAATGAAGTGAATCGATTTGCAGAGTTGGCGTCTTTCATGTCGTCTGCTATGGCCCTTTCTGTCTACTCCAATTTGTCCCTTCTGAAGCAATCTACTCTCAACTTCTTTCCTCATTACGACAATTTGATAACTTTAAGGATTTCAGGTAAATTTCGGTTTTCACTTTTCACAGAGATAACTAAGCCTGTAAGCTAAACCAAAAAAAACCCTTCTACCGGCATAAAGGCTTTGCAGTAAAGCTAGAAAGGTCAGAAGTCAGGTTTCGATTGGCTTAACAAGCCCAATATTGGTCTATTAGGCTATGAGTTTGAGCTAGTTAGCTAACTACTGACAGCTAAGGCTAGCTAGCTATTGACAGCTAAGGCTGGCTAGCTATTGACAGCTAAGGCTAGCTAGCTATTGACAGCTAAGGCTGGCTAGCTATTGACAGCTAAGGCTGGCTAGCTATTGACAGCTAAGGCTGGCTAGCTATTGACAACTAAGATCTCTGTTGTTTCTAGAAAAGAATAAAATCTATCTGGAATCTAGAATAAAATGAAATCTAGTCCACTTCAATGCGCACTTTTCATCATCAATTGGTTAACGTACGCGAATGCAGCTGGTGATTGGGTTTTCTATGCGGCATTGAATCGAGATCTCAGGAATTTGATACGGTGAGTTTACTGAAATCTAGAGGAAAGCTGTGTTTGCAAATTTCAACTCCGAAACGTTTCCTTTCTAGTGGGGCAACGAAAATCCTCCATTCATTTAAGCCCATTTTTAACTTTATTACAGTTTTGTGTCAGGGATACGATCAAAAAAAAGCGATCATCTTTCTTGAAAGCAAAACAAAGAAAGCAAAACAGTCACCTATTGTACTATCGTACTCAAATTTTCAACGTTCCTTTGTAGCATTCAGTGCACCAGAAGAAGCTCGTTTCGATTTTTCTTTACGCATAAAGTACATCAAATGACTTCAAATTTTGAAAAGGAATACCTCAAAATTTCTCATTTAATTTCAACTTATTGTATGAGAATGTAAAAGAAATACCGTATTTTCTGTAATAGTAGTGCGCACTACTATTTTTTCAATCCCCCTCCAGCCTGCACTACTATTACAGCCTGCACTACTATTACAGCCTGCACTACTATTACAGCCTGCACTACTATTGCAGCCTGCACTACTATTGCAGCCTGCACTATTATTACAGAAAATACAGTACCTCAAAATTTCTCATTTAATTTGAACTTATTGTATAATTTAGCTTCTAAAAATTATTAAACATTTGAGTTTTAAGATCTTTTAAATGTTTTTTAATCAATAAACCTTCATTTTTCTGTGACTAGGCTCACTTTCACGGATCAAATATCTAAAAGTGAGTCAGTCAAAATGAAAAAAAAAGTGAAAAATTCTCGGCTTCTTGTTTTTTGGAAGATTTATGAGAATTTAAAGGAAAAATCGTAGATTATCCGCCTTTTTGAACGCTTTTTTTTCATTAAATAACCTTTTCAAACAGTAATCGGATAAAGAAAAGCGGTTTTTGAGGAGATTTTCCGGGAATTTCCGGGAATTTCCGGGAATTTTCCGGGAATTCTGCATTAAAAATGTACACTTTCAAAAAAAACATAAAATCCTTTAAACTTTTCCCTTTTTACAGTACATTTTTCTAATGTTTGATGAGGAATTTGTCTATTTTTGAATAAAAAAAAACCCTCAATCCTTTTACAGGCTAATGTCTGAGCGACGAAAGCGATCAACTCTCTCTCAAAATTGCTCACCATCAAATTTACATCGAAGTTTACGACAACAGGTAAAAGATGAAAGAAATTTATCGAAATTTATCGAAATTTATCGAAATTTCGTCGAAATTTCGTCGAATCGAAACGCGAAATGTTTCTAGGTGGCTTCATCGCTTCGCTTCTTTCAATCGATTAACAGCTATCGATCATCAGCTGGTGGCTCATTCGACGAGACGATGGTCACTGATGGACGACATCCGTCAATGGGGCTCCCGTTGGGCACGCACAGCTCAAAGTGTGTACTACTTTGAAAAAGAAAAAGGAAAATGAGAACAAAAGAGATCAAAATGTGGGCAAGAGTGCCTTTTTAGAAGAGTGTGCATGTGCTAGAGAGGAGTTTCCTTTTTTTTTTTTTTGTTTTTTCACTTTCTTTTCGCTTTTTGTTGATAGATTTTCTAAAAGATTGAGTGATTCTAGACAAACTACCGTAATTTAATCATTACCGCAAGCTAACTACCGTAACCTAATCGTTACCGTAATCTAACTACCGTAACCTAACCATTACCGTGATCTAACTACCGTAACCTAACCATTACCGTGATCTAACTACCGTAACCTAACCATTACCGTGATCTAACTACCGTAATCTAATCGTTACCGTAATCTAACTACCGTAATCTAGAAAAACAATTCAAAATAGAGTCTATTTTGTCGATTTCTATTCGAAATTCAAATCTCTAATAATTAAAAGGTAAAAATCTAGAAAAAACCTAATATTATATCTTTAAAGTTGCTAAAAGTATTTCGAATTCTTCATTCTTAGAAAATCTTCAAAAAAAACCCCCTTGAATCCCTATATTTTCAACTAAAAAATGCTAACTCTGAAATAAAAGCGAAGAATTTTCAGATCCACTCCGAAAACTTCACTCCTCTCCACGAATTCTACTCATCAAGATTCCCCTCGTTTATATTTATTAAAAAAACAATCGAGTAGCCTCTTCGCTGATGATATTATGGTTTAAAATGGAAATGAAATGGAAAGAAATGAAATGGAAAGAAAATGAAATGAAATGAAATGAAAAAGCTATCGAATACGAAATACCGTTTACGATAGCTTCTCTTCGAGCTACGAGCTTCGAGCTTCGAGCTACGAGCTACGAGCTTCGAGCTTCGAGCTACGATAGCTTCGAGCTACGATAGCTTCGAGCTACGATAGCTTCGAGCTACGATAGCTTCGAGCTACGATAGCTTCGAGCTACGATAGCTTCGAGCTACGATAGCTTCGAGCTACGATAGCTTCTCTTGGAGCTTGGAGCTTCGAGCTTCGAGCTACGATAGCTTCTCTTGAATATCTCTTCGAAAATGCATCGATTTCCTCGCATCTCCTTCTCTAAAACGGGTCGTTTTTCTTTTTTCTTTTCTCGTCGTGTCTTCAAGCATTTTCATTCTTTCAATTCGTGCATTATGTTTTTAAAAAAAAAAATTCGAAAATTGTCAATAGGCAATAAATTGTTGAAAAAGTTAACGTCAAGAACAATAAAAACAAGAAAATCATTGTCTAAATTGCATAAATGAAATTGAAAATCGAAAATTCTTTCCTTCCACCGAATTTACCCTCACTTTTTCTTGCTTATTTTTAGTCGATTTTCAGCCAAAGATCATAAAAATTCCAAATTTCTCTCATACATGATAACACGGGGAAACAGGGAAAAACAGGCCAATTTTAACACAAAACAAACAAACAATAAGCTCTTTTAATGGCTTTATTTTGGCTTTATAGGGGAAATGATGATTCTCTACAAAAGAAGAAACTCATTTCCAGTGTCCAATCGATTTAAACTTACATTTTTTTGTTGTTTCCATTTTCTTTTCGGCTTTCAATCCCCTTTTCATGGATCAACTAGAGTTTTAGGGATTTCTTTAGCAAAAACTTATAGTCTGCTTAGTTTTGATCAATTTTCAATCAATTTTCATCGATTTTCATCGATTTTCATCGATTTTGCTCAATTTCAAGCCATTTTTGAGCTATTTTTAATCCGTTTTAAGCCATTCTAAGCCATTTAACGCCACTTTTAATCCATTTTAAGCAATCTTAAGCAATTTTAAGCCATTTTAATCCATTTTAATCCATTTTAAGCCATTTTAAGCCATTGTTAGCCATTTTAAGCCATTTTAATCCATTTAAAGCCATTTTAACCCATTATCCATTAAAGCCATTATTTCTAACCAAAAAACCCCCCCATTTTAAACGTTTTACGTATGCGAACACCGAGATTCGCTCGAGAAATCTGCGAATTCTGTCTCTTAGCATCGAAAAAGACCTGAAAATTCAGTCTCTTAGGCTTCAAAAATCAGAAAACAAATGCTTTAAGCGTTGTTTCTCAACGAATTTTCTTTAATATTTAAATAACATTTCGGCAAAATCAAGTTGCAAATTTCTGAAGTGAAAAAAAAAACTGAGAAAGAAACGGCAAACTTATCAGTCGATTCCCCTCCCCCCCCCCCCCTCCCCCCTCACTTTTCCCTTTCCAAATCGCCTTTTCTTTTCGACTTTACGACTATATTTCTGCCCAATGTCGAAGGAATTCCTTTCCCCCGATTCCCTGACAAACATTTTCCATAATTTCCCTTACTTTACTTCTTCTTGTGCAAATCTCTAACCACACCCCTTTCTGGTGCACTGAATCCCTTTCTTTTCACGACTTTCGGTTCTTTAAATGCCATGAGCCATTTGCACTTTGTGCGTTCTCGTAAACATACCCTTTCTGATGCACTGAATCCCTTCCTTTTCACAAGTTTCCCTTCATTATATACCTTGAATCATATGCACTTTGTGTGTTCTCGTAAACGTGCCTTTTCTGATGCACTGAATCCCTTCCTTTCCACGAGTTTCCGTTCTTTAAATGGCTTATATGCACTTTGTGCGTTCTCGTAAACATACCCTTTCTGGTGCACTGAATCCCTTCCTTTTCACAAGTTTCCCTTCATTATATACCTTGAATCATATGCACTTTGTGTGTTCTCGTAAACATACCCTTTCTGGCACACAAAATTCTTCATTTTTCACCGAACACCAATCTTGTAGAGAAAAATGAGAAATGCAATGTGCTAAAAGACAAGCGACACAGCACACTCCAAAGAACAGCTTTCTTTTGTAAACGCGCAACACCTGACGCACTGAATCAAATCGAGTTTGGTGTGACAAGAAAAATGAAGGCTTCGGTGCACCAGAGTACTCGCATTTATGAGAGCACAAAGTGCGCAGTTTGTTGAGTTGAAAGGAAACTTTGGGAATCGATTCAATTCCTTAAATCTTTCAAATTTTCAAATTTTCAAATGGATTTCAAATGAAATTTGCTTATAAAAAAAATGAAAATCTTTCCCTTTTTCTTCAGGTGATGCAAAAACCGATCGGGATTCGCGTTTTTCCTTCGCAAAAAACCTCGGAAATTACGAGTAATGCACACGTTTTACATTACAGGTTGTAAAAGAAAGACTAAATCTTTTGGAAAAAATCTTTTGAAATAATCTTTTTGAAAAGATAATCTTTTTAACGAAAAGTTTAACCCTTTAAACATTTAATTTGATTTAAACATATTTAAGTTGAATAAAACAAAAATTGAAGTAAAAGAGAGTAAAATGCTTTCAAAAAATTCGAATAATTAAAATTATCCACTATTTAAGATTAAAGATTCAATAGAAATAGATTAAAATAAATAAAAATGTGAAAAAAAGCTTCAGAAATCTAAAGGAATTAAGGTTGATTTTCATTAACTATCATTTAGAAAACGTTTAGAATCAATTTGGAATCAATTTAGAGCCAATTTAGAATCAATTTAGAGCCAATTTAGAATCAATTTAGAATTAATTTTGGAATCAATTTGGAATCAATTTGGAATCAATTTGGAATCAATTTAGAATCAATTTAGAATCAATTTCCTTGATTCAGAGTTCCACCCGAAGAACCCCCAATCGATTACACACTTCGCGAAAAGCCAAAAGTTCGAGGTGACACGAAAAAGCGATCAAAATTTTTTAAGCAATGAAAATTTGAGAAAAGCTAGAGTGCTTTTAAAAGGAATTCGATTTCCCATTTTCCAGCCGATTACCGTGTCGTTTTTCCGCCTGTCCGCGAGCATCCTGATGACTATTTTGGGGAAATCGGTGACGCAAAATCGATCACAAGTCGAAATCCCGTTCACCAAATTCACTCACAGCCCACACATCACATTCATGAAGTCATCGAGAGTGCACCGTGAGTTCCCTTTTTCCCTTTTTGAGACAAGAGTACGGTAGCTTCGTTGCTCACTCGTTCTTTCTCCTAGTTTATCATTTTTTCTATTCTAATTGTTTTGAATTAGGTTACGTGCGCTTACTTACAACTCAGCGTACATCTCAGCAAACGCAAACCCTCTGGCACACTGGCTTTCTCTTTTCACACTCTATGCCATTCTGATATTGCTGTTTTTCTGATAAAAAAACGAGAAATCCAGTGTCCTAGAGCACAAAGTACAGCCTTTTGTAAAAATAAACCTTCTAGTGCACGGAGTCTTTAAAATAAAGAATTCAGTGCACAAGAAAGAGTGGGTTTACAGTTTAAAGCTTCAAAGTACACTTTGAGCCCTAGTGCCGAACCAATCCCGAATCTTCCAATGCGAATGAGACGGAATACAGCCGATGAAGTATTGCATGATCTTGATTCAGCTCTAGAAGATGAACAATACGATTTCGAGGAAATACGTGATAAAGTCAAGGTTTCATTTGCTTTACTTAATCAATTAGAGGGCTTTTCTAAAGTGGCTAACTTTAGAAAGCTACGGTAATTCACTCTTTTATTTGTTTCGATCGGAAATCAAAGTGTTCATTGAATCAGATCAAAATCAAGTGGAATAAATAAAATTTAAATTTAAAGGCTACGATGGTTCGTGGAATTGTCGTCTTTTTAGAAAATTTAGTGGAAAACACTCTTGAATCTTTTTTTGAATACCGTATTTTCTCTAATAGTAGTGCACTCTAATAGCAGTTAATGACTATTTTACGGTTTCCAAGCTTCCACAGAAGCTCAACACTCAAATCCCCCACTAGATCTCATCGTCAGCTACATTTCCCGACCCCACATCGATAGGTTCTCATAAGCGTTTCTCGAGATTTTTTCGAGGAATTTAGGCGACGCTCAGGGTGCACTACTATTAGAGAAAATACGGTAATTCATTCAGGCAATGAATCTCTCATTTCGTCAATATTCACCGGGTTTTGCGTTCGATTCTTACGACAGTCAACCAGCGCAAAGAATAAGTGACGATCGTGAGTGCTTACTGAAATACGATAGTGAAATGAAAAATTGAGAACAAGTTTACGGTAGTCGGGAAGAGTAAAGGAAAATCGACGTAAAAGGTTACGGTAGTCGGGAAGAGTAAGGGAAAATCGACTTAAAAGGCTACGGTAGTCGGGAAGAGTAAAGGAAAATCGATGCAAAAGGTTACGGTAGTCGGGAAGAGTAAAGGAAAATCGACGTAAAAGGTTACGGTATCGAAATAGCTGATTGAAAACCTTTTTGAAGTCAATTTAGAGCTAGTTATCGTTCAAATAGAATCAAATAGAAAAAAAACAAGAACAAATAAGCACAGAATATGCAATAAACTAAGACCACGTAGACTACAGTAGAATTTCACGTCTATTACTTTAACTAACCAAGCCATCTGTGCTTTCTTATTTGTGACTAAATTCACGTCACTTTCGTCCTCTAGGCAAGCGTTTCTTTTCTTTTAATCCCAAAATTTCCAATCGACTTTTCCAGTTTCCTCTCGTGTTCACCGTTTAGCCGTCTCTCCACCGAATACAACAAGACAGGTGCCAAATCTATCAACAATTTTCATCAATGCTTTTTGAAAAGTATTCAGTTATTTAGGAAATAAATAAAGGTTTTGGGAAAGAAGATCTGAAAATCCTTGTAAATCTTCTACTTTTAACTTCAATGATGGTAGTTTTAGCACAGAAGACTTTCGCTTAAACATTTCTAGAATTAAATCATTTTGCACAGTGGACTTTCACTTAAGCATTCCTTCAAACCATTTAGTACAGTAGAATCTCGCTTAAACATTCCTTTAAATCATTTAGTACAGAAGACTTTCACTTAAACATTCCTTTAAGCCATTTAGCACAGTAGACTTTCGCTTAAGCATTCCTTTAAATCATTTAGCACAGAAGACTTTCACTTAAACATTCCTTTAAGCCATTTAGCACAGTAGACTTTCGCTTAAGCATTTCTAGAATTAAACCATACCCCCCTCTTTTTTTTTTCTTTCTACCTTCATTTTTAACTAATCTATTCACTTTTCATAAAAGATAGCGAAAAATACAAAAAAAAAAGTGGATGAAAATGCCGATAAAGATTACGATAATCGGGGAGATTTTCTAGAATTCCAGGCAATTCAAACTGGAAACCCGATGAACGCTGCACAAGGATTGAACGATTCACACAGAAATCACATTGAGACACAAAGGAGAAAAGCCGAATTGGAGATCAAACGAGCGAGACAAGTGTACAACGAGGATTTCTTCTTCGATCAGGTTATTCTAATTTCTGTTTCTTTGCACTCAAAACCGTGTACACACACCCTATCTAGAGCACTCAATAAGAACAATGTTGATAACATTTTTCAAAGTGGTCCTTTTCAAAGTGGTCTTTTCAAATTCTCGATTCTATCCACAAATCGAACTTTTTTTATTCAAGATTTTCATAAAATAAAATAAAAATATTTATTTATCAATGGGGAGGTTTTTTTTTGCGGCGGATCCTTCTCGCATCTCGTTGCTTCATTCCTTCTGGTAACGTTCATCGGCGACGCTTCCGATGTCATCTTTTTTGGGCTCATCACGGTAGATCGTGAGCTAAAGAAGAAAATTTAGTCTGAAAAAAGAAAGAACAGAGACAAAGATAAAGGAAAACTTACGATGATGGCCTCATTGGGCTTCAAGGAACCCTCGGTTGGGTCTTCGACGGGCTCCGCGTTGCTGGTGGTGAGGGCCCACTCCATTCGACGCGTGCCAGAGTTGAAAATCTAAAGGAAACAAAATAAAAGTGAAAATGAAATTGTTTAAATAAAAACGAGCCCGAAACACTCAAAAAGTAAAGCGAGGAAAATAATACCTTGATGTGGTAGACGCGTTTGTCATCGTCGATGAACAACGTTTTGCGACCGGGTGGATTCGATTGAGCCATCTTGTCCTGAAGAGAAGTGTCGAGTAGAGAAGACTGATACCGCAACTGGGGAAAAGTTCCTTATATTTTTCACTGTGTTGCAAACCCTAATTTTGCAAAATTAACTTTCTCGATAGATTTCTCCTTTCAGACGCCGGAATTCGAAAGGAATAGTCGAACGCGGACCCCCGAATGGAAAAGACGATTAATCGCAAGAAGAATGGCAGCGGAGGCGATTCGACAACACGAAGAGAGAGTGCTGGTAGGGAAAATGAATCAGTTTGAACTTAGAGGCAAATCATTCCCGTAACCCAAACGATTTTCAGGAAGATTTCTATGAATGGAAGCGACGCTTCGAGCCAAGTTATCTCGACTCAACTTATTCGCCAAAGGGAAGCGCTCGTTTACCCCGGTGAATAAAAAGTACAACTCTTCCAAATTCCATAAATACTTCAGGACAAAAACAAAAATTTATTGAGAAACACAGAGCACACTGTAAATGACTTGAAAAGTTATGACGCCATATTTCAATCACACAAAACGCTTACAAATCAATACCGATAGCATCACACACCGTTTTAAGGTACCGGTTTAAAAGAGTAAATCCTTATTCACGAGGCAATCCACACATCGAACATTCAGTGAGCACATCGTCGTTGTGGTACGTGCAATGAGGACAATCCCATTTTGACGACTGGCCACCAGATGAAGTTGTTGGAATCGCTGAAAGGAGAAAAATGTCACAATTGATTAAACCTTTTGAGACCTTTGATTTTAAACTAATGAAAAGACTAGGTACTAACGCTTATTTAACGGTAATACATAGACTGCCAAAACCTATCGAATTAATTTTCAAAACGAAAAACCCTAACGATTTACGTTTTAATTTAAAGTAGAATATACAGGGTGCTCCAAAAAAACGTTTCAAAACCGATTTTTGCCAACCTTTTTGACATTTTTGAATATGAGTTCTTTTGACAAAATGGTTTTTTCGACGTCACAAATTTTTTAGAATTTTTGAGTTTTTTCTGATCTCAGGAAAAGCATCGATCCTATACACGGTCGGTGTTTTTCAAATTCGTGGGGCATGGAAACAGTAATTCGTGGGGCATGGAAAATTTGACACATCATATCAAAATCAAATTACCTGGCCCTCCTTGGGCCTGTTGTTGATGTGATAGAGCGACAAGAGTATGCCATTTCTCGTTTTCCCTTGCCCAATCCATCGCCTGCTCCCGTGCCACGTAACGCACCGAATCGCAAAGTTGTTGCAACTAAAAAGGCAGCAGTGTTTTTCAATTTTAATCATAAATTTAATGCACCTCATGCAAGTTTTCGATTGATAACACTTTTATATTTGCAAAGTAAATTAATACCTCTTCATCCGTGAATTTAACCATATCATTCGTGGCCAAATAGAGCAAGAAATGGAAATTTGTAGCTTGTTCGAGGAATTGATTCAACGAGAACTGATCGCAATACTCCGTCAAGTTTTGTCCTCCCTAAAGAGGAAATTCTTAACAAAGGCATAAATTACATTACATACTTGAATTTCTCCGAGAGTCTCTCGATTCTCAACGTGGAATTGGTGTGTTTGCAGTCGATGGAACGTATGTGCCGGATCTTTGCGCATTCCAGCAGGTACATCAACGAGAAGAAACTCAACCTACGCAAATTAAATTGAGTATCGGTTGATCTAAAAATAAATACCGGAAGCGGTCGCCCATCTTTAGTCACTTCAGCGCCATATTCGTTTTTCATCTATAAAAAAATTTATTTCAAACATTGGCTTCATCTAAAGTGCATCTCAATAATTAACTGCTCGAATAACTTTTAAAACCTGCCGTAAACTGAACATCGGTAATGTACTGTGACTCGTCCAATGGTTTCTCGCGAATATACGCCAATTCTGGGAATTGAGTCGGACAGAGCACATTCGCCTCAGCCAATGCAGCACACTGATTTGACACCTAAAATCCAATTATCATTCTTTTAAAATCCGAATCTTTGACTGCAGTTATTATACTTTTCACCGTTCACAGCTGAATAAATTTGAAAATAAAAGGAGTAGCTATGAAAAATTTACTTGATATCCATGGAAAGAAACTTCTTGATTCTCATCACCAGATGCAACAACAGTCACAAACTTGGAACCATATTGGCCTAAACAAGAAAAGACTAAGATTTTTTTATAAAGTACTTACCATCCAACGAGAATTGTGTAATATTTGGGTGTTGATTTTGTAACCATCCTGCCGTGATGCATTCCTCAGCCGACAACAAATACGAGTTCTAAACAAAGACGTACGTTTTGTAAATGTTACTCAAACAAACCGCATTGCGTGTACAATGAACGGTGCCTTTCTTCAAATCAGCAGACCAGAGATCCGTGAAAATCCAACCGATCACCTTCAGACCAAGCCAATCGCAAACCTAAAATATAATTGTTTGACAGTATTCATTAAGCTTTCAATTTTATTTACCTTGTCCACCATTTCCTTGTTTTTATCATCCAATAGCTTGACTCCATTGTCACTGGTAGCTTGTGGAGGCTCGTAAATGGCGACAACTTGAGCTTTGATTCCAAGAGGAACATCCGGAAAAGATTCGTACCTAAATAAGCTAACTTTTACTTTAATCATTATATTCCCACCTTCCAATTAGAAATCCAACGCGCTGATGTCCACTCTTCCGCCAAAAGTTTAAGAAATCGTTAACGAAATCTTGATTTTCCATTGAAATATTATCCACATGGCGAAAGCGCTAAAATTTATTGTTTAACTAGTTGGTTCTAGTTGTGGTTAGAAATTTTGAATAATACAAAAGTTGTCGTTTAAGAACTGAAAGTCCAAAACATTCTGGGATAATTAGCATCATCAACAATGAACTTGAGAATGTAAACTTACTTGACGATTCAGTGTCATAATAGGTGGACGGCATCGAGTACAAACTCCTTTGGGAAATGGTTTATGCGCATCGCATGTCAAATCGACTTTCACCCGAATCGTCTCCAACGGTTTTCGCACTTTTGATCCCTAAAATAAAATAATTTGGGTATTGTTTTGCCTCAATTAACCTTTCCATGTCCTTGAGTCAACTTGCGCACATATGCATGAAAAGACATGTGCTTGATATCCTTTGATTTGAGGTACTCTTCATCGTATGGCTAAAATAAAAAAAAATACTAGAAGAATTTGGTGTTTAAATCCAAAAGTTTCATAAAACACCCACATCCAATGTAAGAAAAACTAGACTAACTTTTCATAATGTTCAAAATTATAGCAATGGGCACATTTGAAACTACGGTGTGAATTTTCCTCAACTTAACGGCAACAATGCTGGATTGTCGGTGGTGTACGAATTCTCTCGAAGGTTTAGAAGTACCTCTACTTTCACCAACACCTAACGTTTAAGTAAATTTAGTTTCTTCTCAATACAAAAAAATCTTCCTTACATCAATCGGCAAACAATGAGAGCACTTTTGTCGGGCGTTGTGATGGCACATCTTCGGATCTCTTGGTCGTTGTACTTGTCCTTCTTGTGTGCTCAATTCGACATCAACGTCGTCGAGCTTCTCATTCTGCGAAGCTTGGACGACCATATTTCCTAAACGAACAAAGTTTGCCGTTGAAGCCGGTCAGGTAAAAAAAATAATAAAGAAAAGTACATTTGTGCATTACAAACTTCCACACAGATCGTTTTCTCACGCTTTTTGCGAGTAGAAACCTTTCAACAAATGTCAACTGCATAAATCATTGACTAACCGAAATTTAGTCGTACGTTAAGGACTCGAAAAAAGAAATAGACTTCATTTTCTCGTTTAAATACCGTGACCACCCCCATTACACCCCACACCTACTAATGCGACGCATTAAAAAGTATAAAATAGCAATTTACAGCCAAAACTAACAAAAATTAACGTTTATCAAATATTTATTCACTTTACCCGTACACAAGCCAAAATTTACATAATAAAACATAAATGGACGAAGGCACTAAATTATTAATCAAAGACGAGACGTCTTCTTGGTGGAGATTCAGGCCCATCTCTAAGTATTCTTCGCCTAAAGACTGAAAAATTAAAAGCCTAATACAAATTATGCTAACCTCTTCGAAGCATTTTGATTTTTGTTGGGAAGTGGTAGCTCTGAATCATCACACGCATATGGCTCAATCTAAATGGAGGGTTGTATCGTGTTCAAATAGAAAATCTCTTACCTGAAAGTACATACTACCAAGGCATTGATCAGTGTTCCATCTCTTTAATGGATCAAATTCGAACATCCGCTCGAGTAAATCGATTGCCGAATCCCCAGCTGCAGTAAACACCGCCTTGAAATCCATACCTAAATTTGAGAATATCAAAAGTAGTAAAATCTAGAAATTCACGTGGATAATTCTCGGTAAACTCGACATAATCGGGCAATTGCTTCATCAAAGCCCAATCATCTTCCGTCGGAGTGCCAAGAAATCTAAAAACAATATATTATGTTACAAGAAAAATTAACAAATACCGATAAATTTTAACAAGTTGATCCAAATCGCTTTCTCCAGGAAAGATTGGGTTTCGTAGTAAAAGTTCGGCGAAAATGCATCCCATCGCCCAAATGTCGACATTCACCCCGTAGCTTTTAGCGGCATAGAGCAATTCAGGAGAGCGGTACCATCGTGTAACAACCTAAAGTGTACAAAGCTATTGAATTAATCTTAATATAGGTTGCCATAAGTGAAAATATGCTGCAAACCATGATTCTTATCCAGAAAATTTACTATGTTTTAATTTCGTGTGAAATTTACAGGAAAATTAAATGGATAAAATTCAGGTGGCAGAAAAAGTTTTATAGTAAAACCTGCCTGATGCGTGTAGACTCTACTCGGTGACCCGAAGAATCGTGCCAGACCAAAATCGGTGATCTTCACGCGTCCCATGTTGTTCATCAGCAAATTGTTCGGCTTCAGATCGCGATGAAGAATGAAGTTCGCGTGCAAAAAGTTGAGCCCAAGAAACGTCTGCATCATTATATTCTTGATGTGTGGAGAAGAGAGGATGATTGTCGTATCCTTGATCAAATGCTCGAGATCCGTCTCCATGAAGTCGAAAACCAGCGAAATACTGCTTTTGTTACCGATGACGTCTCGTAGTGAGATGATGTTTTCGTGGTGAATCTAAATAAACGCTTATTTCAATTGCGTACCAGGTCTAGGCAACATTCTATCCAAAAAAATTCACAAACTTCACTTACTTCTTTCAAAAGTTTTATCTCTCGCAAAGCGGTTCGATTGATGCCATCTTTTGCTTCGTGTCTTGAGCCAAGTTTGATCTTCTTGATCGCCACCACTTCTCCAGTCACATTGTCTTTGGCTTTGCTAAATGTAAAATCCTTAAAACTGGCTCTACTAGACAAACGAACTAGACATTGGCGAATTGACCTTCTCCCAAATGCTTGATCTTTTCGTATCGCTTTGTGGACTTTGTCTCGACCATGACCTAAGAGAAAAATGATTAGTCAATCAATAGAGTTTAAGTCCCGTAATAAAGAAAGTGCACGTAAACGAAAAATCGTTTGAAATACAGAGCAAACCAAACAAGATATTCAGGTAAAGTGCTATAGTGCTTAAAGAGAGCTTTAAAAGTAGCCATAAAAAGGGAGTGGTACAAATGCGACCTTTTTTTTGCGCACCCGGACATTTGTTTCGCACAGCCCATTAGCGCACCTTTTTTTGGCGTTTTAAAAAAGCTCTAAAAAGCTAATATTAACCAATTTCTATTCCAAAAGTTGTTTGCCTAGGTAATTTTAGGGCGTAGAATCGAAATTTTGACATATCAGAGCTTGTGGAAACAAACGTACGGAGTTATACAAAGAGAAAAATCGACAATTTTCTGTAATTTGATCTAGCCGTTTTGTCTTTCAAATTGGTTCCACAAGCTCTGATATGCCAAAATTTGAATTCGACACCCTCAAATTACCTAGAAAAACAACTTTTGGAATAGAAATTGGTCAATATTAGCTTTTAGAGCTTTTTTAAAACGCGAAAAAAGGTGCGCTAATGGGCTAAGTGCGAAAAAAAAGGTGCGCAAAAAAAGGTCGCATTTGTCCCACTCCCCAATAAACAAAAGATATCTTTTGCAGCATTCTTTTACGTGTTTTAATGGAATATAAGGTAAATAAAAATATTCAGCTAAATGACTGCTAAAGCGGAGATTTTGGAAAGGCTAAATAGCAACATTGCGAAACACTTTTTTATTGGTTCAAATGCGATTTCGAAACAATTAGGTCATTGAAATTTTAACCGAATAAGCTTACTAATGTTATTCCTATTTATGAAAGCACAACCAGTAAGATAATTGAGAACACTCAAATACACAAGAATTCATAGAGGTGACCAATATTTAGATCGTGTAATAGATGACATTAGAGTAAAATAGCCTCAAAAAGACAACAAACTACACGCCCGGGCGTTTTACCCACTTTTCAATAAAGCTAAAGATTTGAATAAAGTTTTATAAATTCTTTTTTTATGCTTTTACACCTTTTGAGCGTGTTAATATTTGTTTTTTAAAGCTTATGCGACTTCGTGGGATCTTCTCGACGACCCAACGTTTCTCTTCTGCACGGCACATCACAAATGTCATTGTTGTTGGTGAGTTTTTCCTTTTTTTATTGGTGTACATTCATCTCTATTGAGCCAGGGCGCACTAATTTTTGCTTCTAGGGTTTTTAATGGCGTAGATTCTTAATTTGGTATTTATTTAAGCTTTAGTGACTGTTTTCTAGCTATTTCAAGTAATTACTGAGGTTTTAAGCCTCTTAATTCGGTCTCGCACCTCTGAACCCAGTGGAAATAGAGCCACTCTTGAAGGCTCAAAATTGTTGCTCAAACTGGCCCAAAAGCTATTAAGAATGGTTTGGATCTTCCAATGGATCCAGTGCAATTAATTACTCCAGAAAAAGTTTTTAAAACTAGTGGAAAGTTCGAAAAAACGATGTTTACAAAATGCCCAACTACTATAGCACCTTTTTCTGGTGCTATAGTAGTTGATCTAAGAACTTTCTTTGTTTTTAGGAGGCGGGCACGCAGGATGTGAAGCGGCAGCGGCAGCGGCTCGTTGTGGTGTCTCGACCGTTCTCCTCACTCACAAAATCGACTCGATTGGCGAGATGAGCTGCAATCCGAGTTTCGGTGGAATTGGAAAAGGTAAAGTGGCTAGCATTTTGAATAATCAAGATAAAATGACAAATAAATCGGCAAGTTCTATATGTAATTAAAGTGCGATCGTAACTGTAATGAGAGAATTAATTATTTTGGAATCCTCAGCATCTTTTATCCTATAAGAAACGAGTTGTTAGTGATTTGTTCTATCTAAACTTTCACGGTAAATTATGAAAATTTTAGGCCACTTGATTCGAGAAGTCGATGCACTTGACGGTGTTTGCGGACGAATTTGCGACCAATCGGCCATCACATATCAGGCATTGAATCGAGGATCGGGACCAGCTGTAATCGGATTGAGGGCACAAATCGATAGACAACTTTACAAGAGGAACATGCAAAAGGTTTGCAAAATTTACTAATTTAAGACTTTTTATTTAGGAAATTCTCGATGAGACTCCGAATCTGCGGGTGATTGAGGGAGCGGTCGAAGATCTTTCTTACACGGAAAGAAACGGCGTGGTTGTGGCGAACGGTAGGTTATATTTGAATCTTAAATTAATTTTTACTGATTATTAGGTGTGATTCTTTCGACTGGCGAAAAACTGGCAGCGGACGCTATTGTCATTACAACGGGCACATTTCTCGGTGGTGAAATTTTTCTTGGCACAAAGAGATGGCCAGCTGGACGTATTGGTGACAAGGTTAATTTTTTCGGCGAAGTAAAAAACATTTCGGAGTATATTTGACTATAGTATAGTAAACTTGTTGTTTAGAGTAGCATCGGTTTGCCGAAAACTTTCAAAAAATTGGGACTTCAACTGGGGCGGTTGAGAACAGGGACACCGCCTAGGCTAATTATGGTTAGTTTTAACCTTTGTATCTTGAATTCATTTTTGTGCTTGCTCAATTGTGCAATTCTAGAGTACGATAGATTTTTCACAATTCCAACGAATGCCACCTGATGAGGAGCCAATTCCTTTCTCTTTTTTAACGGAACAGCCAGCGATTTCTACTGAAAAACAAGTAAATTCTGTACTTTTTATAAGTAATAAACCAAAGTTAATGTGGCAAAAATTTGTGAGGAAACTTTTAATATTTTCAGCTACCAACCTATCTTGGGTACACAAACGAGAGGGTAGGCGAGATCGTGAGAAGGCATTTGGATCGAAACGAACATGTAAAATCTGAGGTACTTGTAATTTTTGACTCTAATAGTAAGGTTTAAAAGATATTTCAGTATTGTAATTACTCCAAATCAACAATCTTTTCATGTTTCAGACAACCGGTCCTCGATATTGTCCTTCTCTGGAGAGCAAAGTAATTCGTTTTCCCAACTTGCAGCATCGACTTTTTCTGGAACACGAGGGACTACATTCAAATCTGATATATCCACAGGTAAATTTTTCTGGTAATTTGACAAGTTTGCAGATAAAGATGTGTCTTTAGGGCATGTCAATGACTTGTGAGGAATCAGCTCAACTTGACATAATGCGATCGATTCCAGGACTAGAAAAGGTGGATTAAGTTGAAGAATAAGTATTTATAAATGAAGTAATAATTTGCATCCAAAACTTTCTGATAGTATCCTTTTCCAGGTCGAAATTGCTCAACCCGGTTATGGTGTACAATACGATTTCGTCAACCCAAAACAATTACGACCAACTCTTGAAGTATTTTATAGTACTTTGTTTGTATATGGAAAAAGTTTAGTTAAAATCGGTTAATGGTCTCTTTCTTGCTGGCCAAATCAACGGGACAACTGGGTATGAAGAAGCTGCTTCACAAGGTAACGAATATTTTGTTAGTTTGTTAATTTAAATTGTGCAGGAATCTTGGCTGGAATAAATGCTGCTGCTCGTGCAAAAGGGATCGATGGATTGACGATAAAAAGAACTCAAGGTTGGACTAATAACAACTTAATAGGCAGCTCTGGAAGTGTTTAGAAGAGTTATAACGAGAAAATGAATATTTATTCTTTTAGGTTATCTTGGCGTTCTGATTGACGATTTGACCTCTTTGGGAACCAATGAACCCTATAGAATGTTCACCTCTCGAGCTGAATGTCGTCTTTATTTGAGGTTTGCTTAAATTAATTTTGTTAGCGGGAACAATTTTGTTTAGGCCAGATAATGCCGACATTAGACTTACAGAAGCTGGTCACAAACTTGGAGCTATCTCTGCGAAAAGGTGCATTAAAGTTTTTTAACAAAACTTGAAGGAAATATTGTTTTAACTATTATCTTTAGATGGGGCCATTACACTGATTTGAAGAACTCATTGAGTGAGGCGACGAATCAACTTCAAATGACCACGATGAGTCTATCAAAATGGGCCTCACTGATTCCAAGATTAGAAGAAAGCGTGAAAATCAGAGGCAAAGGTTGGCTTTGGCAAAGTTTCTTACCCAGTTTATTGCTTAAGTTTTATCCGCCTACGAGATGATCCACCGTCACTCGGTCACTTTCAAAGAATTGGTAACGGCTTTGGCAAGGTGAGCTAAAAGGCTGATCAATATTTTCTTTCTTTTAGCTTTGCAAACTTATCGAATAAGAAGAAACTCGAGGAGCGAATTCGGATTGAGGGATCGTATGCGACGCAACGTGAAAGGATGCAAAATAAGGTACCTTTTTAGAGTTATGTACAAAGCTTGTGTTTAAAATTGTTTTTTATTAAGAGTCTTTGAAATGACTTTTGAGCTAGTGGCAAAGATTTGGTGATAGGTCAAATAACTTTATTCCTCGTTTAGCTTCTCGAGATCGAGCGCGAATCGGCGACGATGATTCCCGATGATGTGAACTACGAGAGAATGCTTGGAATGAGCGACGAATGCGCTGAGAAATTGGACCGAATGCGACCTGGAACACTTGCCGCAGCTACGAGGTGACTAGAGTAAAACTTGAACTGATAAGATATGAGTACTGACAAAAGCTGTTCATTAGTCGATTAGTCAAATTTATTTAATATTTTAGTCATTTCATTATTGTCTTTTTTAGAATTCCTGGAATCACCCCCGAAGCGATCACCGTTTTGCTACGATATCTCAAAAAGGAGACACCATTGAGCACTGTATAGGTTATTTTATTTCTCTTTTGTATTAGTTTAGATTTAGAGCGGAAATTTTGTTGGCTTTTGATTTTGTTGTTATTGTTTCTCATGTAGATATTAAACTACTTTTAATAAATTTAATCGAGTTTAGTTTTGATATCTCTTCTTCCACTAAGTCTCTCATTACACCCGAAAGTTTGTAGGCGTAAATTAAGTCCAGATCTTGAACCTGGGAGCAAAGGAGGATTTCAGTGCGAAAGGTGCGTTGAGCACAAAGTACAAACAGAATGCAGTTTCTAAGAAAAATACAACTTTTTATTTAAAAATTTGAAGAATAGCACAAATTTAACAGAAAAAACCACCAACATTATGCACTTCTTTTTGAGAGAAAATACCGTGTTTTTCTGCCCGATTGACACAGAATCTTGATTTCAATGGAAAAATTTAAAAAGCTCATTTGGGGGGTGGGGAAGGAGGGGTGACGGTAATTGTGGGTCATCATTTAGGCTTTTTTGTTCTCCTGCTCGGCGTCGGCGACCATTTTCGCGAAAATCGAATTCCGATCGGCCAGCAAAGTGTTCGGTGGGGCGAATTCCCGAATCTCGCCGTGATCAAGAACCATGATGCTGAAAGATTTCGCGAATTTTATACATCTTATCTACAATATACGGTAGGATTTGTACACGACTTTGCCCTATGATGCACTTTGTGCCCCAAAAGCGTAAACGCATCCCTCCCTCGTGCACTCGGGCACTTCACCGTACACTTGAGCCCTATGGTGTGCCGGTGTTCTTTTTGCTCAAATGTGAACACACGATTTCTGGTGCACTGAATTCCCCTTTTTTGCACGTGAGACAGTGAGGGAAATGAGGAATTCTGTGCTCTAGAATGGGTGCGTTTAAAGATTTGAGTGCAAAGTACACGGTGACACGATATAACTATTAGATTTTCGAGTTTACATGGAAATTTCTGTACTGATTTGTCCGTTTTCGAGGCACTCACCGATCGTAATCCAAAATCGTGTTCAAGCGGTGCGCAATCGTGAAAACGGTGCAATCGGTGAACTGCTCGCGAATCGTTTTCTGTAAAATCTCATTAATGATAGGAAAATCTCCTCGAAATAGCCATTAGATAGAAAAATGCTTTCTAATTTATTGTATTTCTGTTATCAGAATTAATAGAATGGCTACTGCAAATGTTAGACAAATAGGTACTGTAATTGGCTAACTATTGGATACTGTAAGAGGTATTGTAATTAGCTAACTATTGAGTATTGTACTGTAAGTACTGTAGGAGGTACTGTAAGTGGTTGTACCGACAGGTGTGATGGGTACTTTGATTTCTGATCATCTGGTAATCTTATCCACATCGCTCACCTGAATGAGACTGTCCGTTTGCAAGTCGACGGCCGCTGTCGCCTCGTCGAGCACGAGCACCTCAAATTTTAGCGATTATGAACTGATTATAAATGGAAATTTTGAGCTTTAAATGTCTGATAAGCTTTATTATCAAATTTTTAAAGAAACCTTTGTCCTTCGAAGCAAAGCTCGAGCAAGACACACCAATTGGCGTTGACCGACACTGAAAGAACTCTATTTTAATCCTACGGATTACGGTAAGCAGATTTTATGCCTACAACCCGATTGAGATTACATTTTTATGCAAACTAGGTGAAAGAAATCAGCCGATGCCTCAATCCTCTTGAAATACTTATCGATCAGAGCATACTATAGATTACAGTAACCTTGGACTTTGGTATGCCTACAGTAGACCTGCGATTACGGTACTAATCCAGACTACTACTGTCAGTGATTCAATAATCTTGGAGTATTTATCTTGAGAGCATACTGTGACCTTAATGATTACGGTACTCGTCCGTCGGCCTTCTCCCTTCCCTTTCCCTACCTAATATTTTCTCCTCCTTCCGAAATGATATGCTCCAATCCTCTGTCCGTCCTCTCAACCATTTCTTTCAGACTCGACAATTCGAGTGCTTTCCAAATTTCTCTATCCGTTGCCTTTGCGAATGGATCGAGATTGAAGCGAAGAGTGCCCGAGAAGAGAACTGGATCCTGGAAAAAGGATTGAGAATCGCTTGTCAAAATAAATTAGCTATTGCCTGTCCAGAAAAGTAGGCTAGTTCTCCTTTCTGGTATGGTCAAGCCAGGCGAAATTCTGGCTTGTTTTTAGAAAGAGAAAGGCTTGCCAGACCTGGTCAGACTTGGTTTAGCTTGCTCTGATTTATTGCGGACTAGGCTAGGCTAGGTTTGGCTAGGCTATGCTTGCCTAGTCTGGCCTACTACAAGAAATCTAGGTAGTTTAATGTAGTACTTGCTCAATGGAATACGATGTGGCCTAGTGCAGTCCTACAGTAATATTGTCTACATAATATGGTATGAAAATAGAATAGAGATCTGCCACTGACTTGTGGGATGATTGTGATGTTCTCTCTCAAATCGTGCAATCCCATTTGTGACAAATCTTCGCCGTCAATGAGAATTCGACCCTCGGCCGGCTCGATCATTCGGAAAAGTGCCAACGCGAAAGAGGATTTTCCTGCAAAGATCTCATTTCTCATCATTCTAAAAGGTATATCTATTCTACCGTAATCCAGTCGGTAATTTTCGTTTGATCAGCTTAATTTTGGTCAAATTCAATGCGGAAAGCATAAGGCTCAATTAAAGAAGCCAAAAATTGGGTTGATCAAATGAAAACTGACAATTTAAGTACATTTAAGTACAATATTTACAGTACTTTATCTAAAATAAGGTACCGTTTTTAGAAAACGAATTAAACAGGATCACAATACCGTATTCTCTCTAATAGTAGTGCACCCTGAGCGTCGCCTAAATTCCTCGAAATCTCGAGAACCGCTTATCAGAACCTATCGATGTGGGGAGGGAAATGTAGCTGACGATGAGATCTAGTGGGGGATTTGAGTGTTGAGCTTTTGTGAAAGCTTGGAAACTGTAAAATAGTCATTAACTCGGCCCGCTCGGGCTGCACTACTATTAGAGAGACAACGGTATTCCTTGTGAGTTGATTTAGTAACTACCGGATTCTCTTTAATAGTCGTGCACCGTAAGCTTTGCCTAAATTCCTCGAAATCTCGAGAACCGCTTATCAGAACCTATCGATGTGGGAAGGGAAATGTAGCTGACGATGAGATCTAGTGGGGGATTTGAGTGTTGAGCTTCTGTGAAAGCTTGGAAACTGTAAAATAGTCATTAACTCGGCCCGCTCGGGCTGCACTACTATTAGAGAAAAGACGGTATATTCACTAAAATAGCCGAACTAACCGGCTCCCGTCCTTCCCACAATTCCAATCTTTTCCCCGGCATTCACCCGTGCCGAGAAACGCTTCAAGACAAGGTCGAGACCCTCACTGAAATTGATTTGCTATCAGTTATATTTGTGCAATGATGAATCGATAAACAAGAATAGGATAACGATATTAGTGCAATCATAACGATAACTGGCGAGTGCTCAAGGATAAATCGGTCAGTTAGAAGAACTTTAAAGCATCAAGTACAGTAATCCAATGTCAATCCCGCTTTACCAAAGGGGAGGAGACAAAAATTGACATTTATTTACATTTAACTTCTTTACATTATTATATTTTTGTTTAAAAAAAGAGTTAATGATTGATAAACACAGTTATCTAGCAGAGTTAAAGTCGTTTTTTTTTCATTCATTCATATCATTTAATTAAAAGTAATTCTTTAACTTTTAGTTTTAGATTGGATAAAGCTTTAAGCATCCCTTCTACAGTAAAGCTTAAAGCTGAAAGCTTGAATATCTTTGTCGTTTATCTACAAAAGCTGAAGGCTTGAATATCTTTATCGTTTATCTCTTAAGCTGCCCTTCTACAGTAAAGCTGAAAGCTTAAAGCATGAATATCTTTATCGTTTATCTACAAAATTTATCTTGAAAGTTCAAAGCCATCGGTCAGCTAGAAGAACTTTAAAGCACCAAGTACAGTAATCAATCAATCCAATGTCAATCCTCCTTTACTAAAGTCAAAAATTTTTGCGTTTTGTTTTTAAGATAACAAAAATGATCTAATAATGAATTTTCCTTCGAAAGATCTTCCCAAATATCATCTAGATTTCAGATTTCTAAATCACTTTTCAAAAAATCCCTTTTTAGATTGTAAAACAAGGCTCGAAACTTTTGAGAAACTCATAAAAAAGACTAAAAAGCATTCCTCTTAAACTCTCGAATTGAAGCAAAAGAGATCTAGTTTTGAGAAGTTGAGTTGCTTTCCATTCAAATACTGTATAACTGTATAACTGTACGCAAGTGTACTGAGATAGCTGAGTACGCAGTGTACTGAGATCACTGGTACGCAAGTGTCTGCTTCTCAGAAAATGCCCACACACCGATATCTCGTGGCGTAATTGTCGAACTCGACTCGTCCCTCTTTTGGCCAACCCTTTGGTGGGCCGCGATTGTTATCGAGACGCCATGGGGCCTAAAAGACAAAAGTAAACTTGTAAAGCTCCTATCTTTTTCTAGATTTTACAGAGCTAACAGAAAATAGCTTTTCTAAACCTAGTGGCATATGATCGATGCATAATTTACATATTATTTTCTCAAATTTGTTTGAGTGAAAGTCATAAGAACGTCACTAAAGCATTCTATTCAAATTTGCATACTCTAATAGGACGCAAACTCGTCGTACAGTTGCGTAGTGTAATGTTTTAGGAAATCATTTCTTTCTCTGTTTCCACAGATCTTTTTTTTCTTACTTTTGATAACAAAAAAACTAGATTTCAAAGGAAATCTCGGAAAGATTTGAGCAATTTAAATCACCATTTTACTACAAACTTAAGTACCCAAATTTCTCGCAAAATACCGCAAAATACCATCGACTTTTCACCGATTCCACAATACCTCATTTGGTGTCTTCGTGTACTCGTTCACGCGTTCCACCGAAACGATGTTCGCCTCGATTTCACTGATCTGACGCACCGCAAAGTTCAGCACTTCAGTGATCTAAGAAGTTTTCCGGATTTAATCACCAAATCAAGTATCTCTTTACATTCAACGCGTACGAGATCGAGACACCGACAATACCGGCACTCGATGACCAGCCCCATTCTTTTGAAAGAGTCGCGAAAAGGGCCGCAAAGAAGATCTGCAAGAAAAAGTTGTAAAATGTCAATCTCTGTTGTCAATCTCTGTCAATCTCTGTCAATCTCTGTCAATCTGAAATCAGTTAATCTCTGTACTTAGCGGTTTTATGCTTCATTTCCCCCGGAAAATTCGCTCACAGAGTATGAAAGTGTTTGAATGAAAGTCATAAGAACGTCACTGAAGCACTAAAGCATTCAAATTCGCTCACAGAAAAAGTTGTAAAATGTCAATCTCTGTCAATTTGAAATCAGTCAGCCTCTGTACTTAGCGGTTGTCTACTCCATTTCCCCGGAAAATTCGCTTACAGAGTATTCTTGCGGTGCCAAATAAATTCCGGAAAGGATTGTCGAAAGATTTCTATGAGAAATTTCCGGATTCTTTCAGCGAGCAGCTCTCTTAAAGTTAAGCTTCGAAAAAGTGGCATTAAAGTGATTTAAAGGGACATTGTTGGTACTGCTTTTTTTAATCAATTGTTCATTGTTAATTCAACACCGGTTTTTTCATCTTTAGCATTTCTTAAAAAGCAATTTCCTAAAGCATAAATCAGAGGTAATTTCTTTGTTAGCTAGTTCTGAAAAAGTCGACTTTTTTTTCCGAAAAACCGACCACACAGTTTCCAATGAATTCCAGCCGAATAGCCAGCCATCGATTCGAGACAATATTCGGGTATTTGCAGCGAATAAAACGATCAACTGTTTCCCCAGATTTTGTGACGAATGAATCAACCTGGAAATGTTACCAGCTTTACCTCTAATGGATCAAGTACTGTTTTACTAAAGTATGCCGAGTAGAAGAATTCTAGAACCTCTTCCGTCAGTTCTAACTCAGCTATCAAACCCAGTCAATTGATTTCACAGTAACCAAGCTTATTGTTAGCTAATCGTAACATTAACTAACTACAGTCTGCCGAGTAGAAGAATTCTAGAACCTCTAGAACTAGAACTAGAACGTCAGTTCTAACTCAGCTATTAAACCCAGTCAATTGATTTCACGGTAACCAAGCTTATTGTCAGCTAATCGTAACATTAACTAACTAAAATATTCCTTGAGTACCTTGTTAAATGCTCGAATCGAGGCGGCTCCCTGAATGCTTTCACCGAAATGCGAATAGATTGGTGATCGATTGATTCCCTCTAAGCGTTTCAGTTGTCGAGACGTTGGCACGTAGTAGCGCTGAAATGTTGAACGATTCATTGAAACATTGAAAAGGCGCGCATTGAATCAGGGGGAATTTGTTAAAGATGAATCCTATTATTCTCTACTCTTCCCCCAGTTTCCCCGTTCTTCAGTACTTACCACAATATTTAGGGTACAGTACGATGTACGAAAGTTTTTCTAGACCCTCGTAGCACTTTATATCACCGAAATATTCTATAGAAATACACCTTTCCTGGCGCACACTCATTGTCAATAGAGTACGCGAGAATTGGTGGGTTTTTAAGGCTTAAACATGAAACATTTCTCTTTAGTGTTCCTGGAAACTCACCAGGAACCAAATATAAATGCCACCGAGCGGTAAAATGACTGCCGCGAAGAGTGGCGTCGAGATGATGATCACGATCAGCGTGGTGATTACCTGGGAAATGATTGATACTTGAAATGATTGATACAAATGAACTCTTCATTGAAACTCTTCAACCCAAGACTGTACTCAAGAAGCAAATCGCTGAAAACACAAGAGGGATTGCTTGTTTTGCATTGCAATTTGAAATTCAACATCTTTATAATACTCTAGGTTATCGAAAGATTCTAGAAATTCGCTTAATTAGCTTCTAAGCTTAGCTTAATTGCTTAATTGAGGCTTAAAAAATATTTATAATTAGGTTGGTGAATTGAAAGCTGCCGGCTATTATCATATGTGACAGTTTGAGTGTTTTGAGTCTTTCTTCAAAAGAAACCCATTTTGGTGTCAATGGAAAAGTTATAGAGAATCAAAAATGAAGCTTATATCCAAATTTCCAGAAAGATACACTTAGTAGTTCCACTTGAAATTTGGGTGTTATGTATGTTCTTTGTGCGGCTGCGGAAACGCTCGTCGTCTGGCGCAGGGCTTTTACATAACTCCCCTCCCTCTCCTCACCAACCCAATAGATTAGCTAAAGAAAATCTCGATTACCTGTAAGATGCACATCACATAATAGCGAAAATTCATTGGCAACAACATATCGATTACTTCAATATCCTGAAAAAAGAGTTTAGTTTTTCATTCAATAAACTTTTTCTTTTACCTTTGCACATCGATTGAGAATACGTCCAAGTGGAGTTGTGTCGAAAAAGGACATCGGAGAGTGCAAGAGGTTCATGATTAAAGGACGATGAAGGCGACGGGATGCTGGAGATTTTCGGGTTAACTAACTAACTAATTAACTAATTAACTAACTATCTAACTAACTAACTAACTAACTAATTAACTTTAAACGATAAAAACTATGGCACTAATCCTACTACAGTAATTTAGAAGAAGATCTCAAGGAACAAGGTTGATTTTTTGTGTAAAGAATTGTGATGAATCGGCCAAGAGATTGTGATTCTTTAGTGAAATTTGAGGGGTAAACTTTAAAGAGCTAGTCTTATAGGAAGACCACCGTACACAACGTTATCGGGAGGAGATTTCATAGAGCTTACAGTAGTGTAAAGAGTTGTAATGAGTAAACAAGAGATCGTTTCAAATTGAGCTGAAAATTTCTCCTACCCGACAATCCGCCGTAAAGATTCAGCACCTGCGAGACGAGAAACCAGAGCGCTGAAAAAGTTTGATATTCTCAATAGAGTAGCTTTCAGGATAAGCCAGTTTCCAGGATATGGAGCCTGGGTAGTCCTGCTGGAGCCTGTGTCTGTAAGTCAAGGTCAGGTCAAGGTTAAGGTCAAGGCCTTCTACCTGACTTTTGTCGGGTCAGGTAAGGTAAAAGCCAAGACAGTAAAGTCAATTTAAGAGCCAAACCTTGTCTTGTCTTTTCCCGGACCTTAAAATCTAGCTTTGTAGCTTCTAGCTTTGTAATTCAAGAAATTTCCCTCACATTCGACAACTCCCAGTGCACCGTACACTCCAAGACGAGTGCCCAATTCCATTTTGTGGCCAGTGTGTGAGGGATCGTTCTCGTCAGACCTGAATATCAATGTTTTCATACTTTGCACACTATCTATCACTTTAGCGTAATTCTTCTTGTAATTCTTGCCTTCTTGTAACTGCTATTGTAACCCGTACCGTTTACTTATCATTATACAGTACCGCCTATTTTAACCTCGACATCAGTGACATCTTCTGCTTCTGACATTCTCTTCTGTGACTTTTCTAGTCATTTCTCTCTAGACTTTTCCAGATCTGTGACTAAATTATTGACTAATTCTATTTCTAGCTTTAAAAATTGATACTGTCAGCTCCGAGCCAAACTGATATTTTCGTTACTATTGTTATTATTGAATGATTTGTCTATTCTTATGCAAATGTGTCCTCCCCTGTGCTTATCCCTTTTATTGCCGAGAAGGGGCAGTCCTTGGAGGCTCGATTGTCTAGGAGGACAAGTGAGACTCACATTTGGAGTCCCCCCTTCCCCTTACACTTATTTGTAATCTATTCGTCTTATTATACTACTGTAAATAAAGATACATATCTTGCGAGTCTATGCAACTGCAGTGTGGCGAATAGCCACTAAAAAGTTACCTAACTCTGGCAGCCTAAAAATTGGGAAATTATTGAGGAAATCGGTGCGCCTTCATTTTATTTCGCGCCCCAAATCATTTATTCTTTTGTAGCTTGTTAGCTGAGTATCTTGTGTTAAAGCTATTGAGTAAAGTGTTTTTAGTTCAAGTGAGATCAGATATCTCGAAACAAGAAATAACGTGTCTTGAGTGAAGAGTACCAAGCATGCAAAGAATATTTCTTTACATGCAGTACAGGTCGGTCATTTCACAGGGGCTCCCCTCTAATACGTTGGAGGAGTTGAGTTGGGTTGTCGGGGTGTTAGAGATGGCGGGGATATCAAAAAGGGATCCACTCTCTTTAACTTAACCCAAATTCTAGTCCACATCCGTCTATACCTAGGAACGAATAATACCGTAACGCTAAAATTCGTGCCAAAATTCGTGCTAAAATTCGTACTAAATCTGATTAGCTTTTATGTGAATTACAAAAAACAAAAAACGAACCATGCCGAGAGCCAGAAACTCCGGACAATTTGGAAAACTGAAAAGAGGGTAAAACCGGCGGCAAAAAGGAAGGAAAGCGTGTAAGTGGCTGCTTTCACATAATCACGGTAGATCGAGATTTTCACCTAAAATTTGAAGTTTCATTTGGAGGAATTGATCAAGAAAATTCATTGATTTATTGATTTATTGATCAAGACAATTGGCTCTAGACTAGAGCCGATTGCAAGTGTCAAATTGTGATTGTTTTGTTTGTTTGTGTTTATTCTCGAAAATTCGTTTAAAAGATTCAGTATGTTTGGTAGCACTAAGCTCTAGGTGCTTTGTGTGCCTTGTGTGCCTTGTGTGCCTTGTGTGCCTTGTGTGCCTTGTGTGCCTTGTGTGCCTTGTGTGCCTTGTGTGCCTTGTGTGCCTTGTGTGCCTTGTGTGCCTTGTGTGCCTTGTGTGCTTTGTGTGCTTTGTGTGCTTTGTGTGCTTTGTGTGCTTTGTGTGCTTTGTGTGCCTTGTGTGCTTTGTGTGCTTTGAAAACGTCCCCCTTCTACGTCGCAATCAATTGAGATTTCAACTCACACTTCCTTCAGCGGCCATTTCCTTTTGAATTAATTTCTTTCCATCCTCAGCCCCAGTCGTCGATTTCACGGTCAACACGGAGACCTGAGTGTTTAGCAGACTAAATACAAAAAGTAGTTAGATAATAAAATGATCTAATTATTAGATTAGTTATTAGATTAGCTATTAGATTAATTATTAGATAATTATTAGCTTTTTCTTAACTTTTTCTTAACTTTTTCTATAAACTCACGGTTTTTCTTGATCTTCTCCGTCTGATTCGTCGTTAATTTCTGAAAAATTTTAGAGATAAAATCAATGATGACCTTGTAATCCGTTTTCAATCTTAAATGTAATTATTTGGATTCTAGATTAAGTTGAAAAAGAAAGCTCTCTGGAAAAAACGTTTGCACGGTGTTTTCTCAAAAAACAAACCAAACTTTTTCTTGAGAACTTTCTTTTCCAATCTAATATCATTGGTAATCCTCGAAAGAATCAGAGAAAAGGGGACACGTTTTAGGGTTTCACTTTGATAACAATTCCCACAAACTCGCGTTTTCAAGAAATTCTAGTTAAACCTTTTCTTGAGAACTTTCTTTCCAATCTAATATATCTATAGATAATTAGAAATGTTCTTGAAATCTTGAAATCTTGAATTCTTGTTCTTGTTCTTGTTCTTGTTCTTGTTCTGGTTCTGGTTCTTGTTCTGGTTCTGGTTCTGGTTCTTGTTCTGGTTCTGGTTCTTGTTCTGGTTCTTGTTCTTGTTCTGGTTCTTGTTCTGGTTCTGGTTCTTGTTCTTGTTCTGGTTCTTGTTCTTGTTCTTGTTCTTCAATTGGTAATCCTCGAAAGAATGAGAGAAAAGGGGACACGTTTTAGGATTTCACTTTGATATTGTTATTGTTATCGGAATTATTGTCAAAGTTAAATCCTAATTCAAGAAATTCTAGTGAAACTTTTTCTTGAGAACTTTCTTTCTAATATACCTATAGATCTAATATATCTAGAGATAATTATCTAGAGATATCTAGAGAGATAATTATCTAGAGATAATTATCGAGAAATGAGACTTAGATATTGAATTTTATCGAGGAGTACAAACGTTTCTCCTTGCCATCCTCGTGCCAACCCTCTGAGTCACTGTCCTCATCGTTGTCGGCTGGTTTTTTCGATTTTATCTAAAAATATGTACATAGTATACTGTGCTAATACTATGCAATGACTAATTTTTTATAGTTTCTAACTATTTCGAAGTATTTTTTTAACTTTTAAGCACCTCTTTGACGAAATCGGCAAACGCGCCGCCCATCTCGACGAGCTCGTCGTAAGTGCCCTGCTCGGCGATTAGACCGTCTGAAAGTTCAGCAATTCGATCGATTACCGTAACCCCGACAGCTACAATATCCTACAATATCCTACAGTATCCTACAGTATCCTACAATATACTCGAAAATACCGTACCCTAAGCGCTACCGTACTCAAGAAAATGCCTTATCCTGAAAACTACCGTATCCCGGATATTGGCTTGTCCCTAAAGCTAACGTATTTCGGAAGCCACCGTGTCTACAGGAAACTACCGTACTCCCGGATTACCGTATACCTGAAAACTACTGTATCTACAGGAAAATCACCGATTAGACTTCTGAGGATATCGTATCCAGGAAACTACCATATCCCGGAGCTACCGTTGCACCGGAAACTACTGTAGCCTAGGACCTACTGTACCCCCAGGCTCCATATCTGGCTTATCCTGAAACTGGCTTATCCTAAAAGCTAACTGTCTCGAAAGCTACTATATTCCGAGAGCTACCGTACCCCCGAAAGCCATCGTTTTCCCAGGAGCTACCGAATCTACATCTACCGTACCCATTTTGACTAGCGAACTAGCGAACTGTAGCTGTGTTTTCCCCTAGTTGAGCTGGCTACAGCTCACAAACCTTTCAAAACAACAATCGGATCGGCATCGCGAATGAAAGTCAATCCGTGAGTGACCAAGATTCGCGTTTTCCCCCTCAGCAAACCGTTCGGACCGATCACCTGCAATAGTAGCATAGTGTAAATACTGTAATAGTACCCCATCCCCATAATGACGGCCGGAGCATCGCGTAGTCTAGCTTTGAACGAGTTTTTCTCGACACTGGTTTATGCTATAATGCGCGCTTAGGTATCAAAATATAGCTGAGATTCAGGGCTATTTTTTGACACCAAAGACGCATTTTTTGAAAGTACTTTTTTGAAAGCTTTGAAAAAAATGAAATACCAAAAAACTTTTGCGACTACGCGACTGTACGGGGGGAGGGATGGGGTACTATTACAGTATTTACGGTAGTGTACTTTGTGCTCACTTCTGTGAAAGCATACCCTATCTAGTGTAGGAGAAAGGGTGCGTTTTCTCGTGAAACTTACATAATCAAAGATATGTCGGCCAACGTGCGAATCAACAGCCGATAGCGGGTCATCCAGCAGATAAACATCACAATCTTGATAGACAGCTCGAGCCAAAGCGACTCGCGCTTTTTGCCCACCAGACAGATTGATTCCCTGAAATCCGAGAGATTATGGTAATCCGTATTTGGAAATCTAAAATTTCCTCTAACCTTACCTATGTAGCTTTCCGTAGCCTAGCGTTTTATCAAGAAAGTTACCGTCACCGATGAGCGAGCTTTTCCCGGCTCCAACTCTGCCAACGACGGCCACCGTAACCCTCTAACGCTTACCTTTTCACCGATTTCCGTTAAATCGCCGTGTGGAAGAATTTTAAGATCTGGTCGAAGTGCGCAAGCGGAAATCACCTAAAAACTCTCAACTAAATTACTCTCAAATTTTACAGAACTTTTATCATTTATTTCTTAGAAAGCTCTCGAAAACTTTCTGGTCTGAAAGAAAGATTCAGAGATGACAAAAAAAAATTCAGAGCTAATTACAGAAAATTCTCAGTGAAATCGTGTCACTGTTTTACAGAGAATTTCATCAAGAACCCAGCTACAGTTACTTTTGAAAATCTTGTCATTTCCTATCAGTTAACTTTTATAGTAATCTCTACGATTGTAAAACAGCTATTGTAAAGCAGCGATTGTAAAGCAGCGATTGTAAAGCAGCTATTGTAAAACAGTGACGTCAACTGTATGCGACAAAATAACGTCGTCGATTTGACAAAAATTTCCCCCTCAAATTTCCCTCACCTTTTGATATCTTTGTTTGTCGTATGGTCGTCCGAAAAGAATGTTGTCTTTTAAAGACAAATTCTGTATCCATGGTTGTTGTGGCACATAGGCAACCCTTCCCCGGACACCAATAATCCCTTTCAACTTCTCCATCTCACCTGAAAATGTATTAGCTAGATAATTTCTAAATCTTTAAGGCTTTCAAAACCTTTCACCCCAATTTGCCATCAGCATTATTCTTAGCTCAAATTTTTAGGATCTCGCTAGGTTTGGAGCTGGCTTTAACCTAGCCTAATTTGGCTACAAAATACAGAACATATCTAGATATTGTAAAGGTTTAAGCACAAGTACTTGGCTTGATCTGCTTTGATTTTGATTCTCAGACAGTTCGCTATTAGCAAGAACTTTGAATTGAATTTCTTCGCGTACAATTGTCTTATTGAAATCTATCAATCGGTAGAAAAAGATTTGATGAATGGTACTAAAATTGTTTCAAACGGTCAATGGTCAATGGTCAATGGTGTGCGAAGAAATTCAATTCAAAGTTCTTACTAATGAGCGGGGAAAAAAGGGGACAAACCAGGGATCCAGGGATCCAGGAATCCAGGAATCCAGGGATCCAGGAATCCAGGAATCCAGGAATCCAGGAATCCAGGAATCCAGGAATCCAAGGATCTTGATTTTTGAAAAAAACCCAATCCTCACCCAATAGTGCGCTGATGAGCGAGCTTTTCCCGGCTCCAACTCTGCCAACGACGGCCACCAGTGCGCCTGGCTTTGCCTCAAGGCTCATGTGCTGAAGACCGGAAGTCTGAAAGGAGAATTAAAGAAACTTCCAAGTCTAAAAGTGCCATTTCTTTAAGATCTAAAGACTGGGGTCTCATAATTTCTTCATTGTTCTTGTTCAAAAGCCGTGACAAATCCAAAAGGCAAGGACATTTTTCTCGTTTTCACTTTTTAATGATAGAAATTGAAAATTGCTGGTTTCATTCATTTTCATTCATGTTTTATGATGGTTTCATTCATTTTTTTTTTCTTCAATCTTAAGCAAATCTAATCTTAAAACAAGAGAATTTTGTTGAAATTGAATGAAACAAAAAAAGATAAAAGATGAATTATGAAAAGGGTCGTTTTGCATGGCAAAAGATTTGAAAGTATCATGTTTTCTTATGTTTTTTATTGAATTCTAGTTTTTCTTTCCTTTTTTTTATGCTATATACTTTCTTTAGTACCCAAAAAGAAACCTTTGAAACATGCTCTTGCGCATCCCAAACCGCATCCACATCGATCATCTCAACAGCGTTTACGTTTGCTGTAAATATATAAAATTTCAAAAGCAAATCACACTTCTCACTCGACTAAACGCAATAAACAACAATAAACTAAACAATAAACTAACAAGAAGCAACAATAAACAATAATAAACTAACAATAAACAACAATAAACCAACAATAAACCAACAATAGACAACAATAAACAACAATAAGCTAACAAGAAGTAACAACAAACTAACAATAAACAATAATAAACTAACAATAAACAACAATAAACTAACAATAAACAACAATAAACTAACAATAAACTAAACAATAAACTTTTAAATACAAATTATTCTTGTAAAGTTGAATCATTCTTGCACCCAGCTGAGTCACTTTTTTCGGAACGAAAAGAAAAAAAAGCTAGCTTTTGATTCTACTTTTCATCAATTCTCGATCCAACGAGTAACGAGCTGAGCGCAAGAATTATTCAACTTTACTAAATAATTTGTATTTAAAAGTTGATTGTTAGTTTATTGTTTAGTTTATTGTTTAGTTTATTGTTTAGTTTATTGTTTATTGTTGTTTATTGTTGTTTATTGTTAGTTTATTGTTGTTTATTGTTAGTTTATTGTTAGTTTATTGTTGTTTATTGTTAGTTTATTGTTGTTTATTGTTTAGTTTATTGTTAGTTTATTGTTGTTTATTGTTTAGTTTCTTGCGTTTAGTCGAACTCGGGAATGCTCCCGTTTTCGGGTAAATTTAAAGAGCAAATTTCAACTTTAAAGGTATTTGTTTTTACATAAAACAAGTATCGATTAGTATACCTTAATTATTCTCGTAATTTGTTTATCTAAAATCATCAAAACTAACAATTGCCGTCAATTCGGTCAACGGCATTCTCGTCTAACTCCGGTGCGACGAAGAACTCTTTCAATCGACGATTCGAGACAATTGCCTGAGAGATTTCAAATATATTCTTCATTTTATTTTTAAAATGTATTAAAAATGAGAAAAACGCGATCGACTTGAGGGCGGTAAGGTTATAGTCGCGAGAAATCGGTGCCATCAAAAGCGACGTGATGGTCTAACGGTTAAGTCGTTTGGCTCTTAAACTCTTGGATCGGGCCGTTGACGCTGGTTCGAGTCTCCAGCCGACTTTGATTTTCTGTTTTTTAACACAAAATGTTAAAAAACTCTTTTTAGCTCAACTTTCAACAATTAGAATTGAATATTGGCTTTATAAAGTCAAAAATTGAGTTTAAAACTCTCTAGAACTCACTTGAACGATTTGATTGATCAACATGGCGATCATTGTCATCGGCGAGCGCAGTTGATTGAAAAGAGTCAACGAAACGAAAGCCACCTAGAAATAAGGGAATTTTAAGTGAAAAGCTTTTAAAGTTTTGACTTGGCTAGTGTAATTTCACAACTTGTTTACTGTAGGGATTACTGTAGGGATTACTGTAGGGATTACTGTAGAGATTACTATAGGGTTTACTGTAGAGATTACTATAGGGATTACTGTAGGGGATTACTGTAGGGTTTACAGTATAGTCAATTCAAGTCAAGTTAATCGATTTTACATTAAATAGATCCTTACTTTATAGAAAACTCTATTGATCATTACGGTAGCTGGTTGTATACTTTAAAGATCATAATCTTTGAAATGCTAAATGATTTTCCGCTTACCTGCGGTGTCAATGCGTGTTCATCCGATGAGAGAGTGTAGGTGCCGAAGGAGAGAAGGGCTACCTGTCAAAAGATAATGACTTTAGCTTTTGATCGTTGTACATTTTAAAGCTACAGTCGGTTTAACGACTTTAGCTTTAAAGTATGTTAAGCAACTGTCATAATTAGATGTAAATTTTAAACAAAAAATCCTTTCTTTACCATGAAAGGGCTAGCCGTGTTGAACGAGTCGAGCACATTTCGAACCCATGCAGCTTTCTTTATGAGCATCAATTCCTGGAAAAGTGAAAGTGAAACTTTGCTTAATACTATCGTAATTCTATCGTAATTCTTGTCTCTATTTTTATTTAATCAATTTATTATTCATCTTTAGACTGAATTAGACTTAAAAGTGAAGAGATTAAATGAAAATTGATATAAAATTAGGGTAAAAGAGGAAAAGAAGAAAATTAGACTTAAATAAATAAAGTTTTCTTACTTTTTGTCGAATTTGATTGGTGTGCTCTTCCATTGGGATTATAGGGATTACTGTAGGGATTACTGTAGGGTTTACAGTATAGTCAAGTCAATTTAATCGATTTTACATTAAGTAGTTCCTTACTTTATAGAAAACTCTATTGATGATTACAGTAGCTGGTTGTATACTTTAAGTAGATCCCTTTAAGTAGTATAAAGAGGAAAATTTGGATATAAATCATAAAATAAAGTTTTCTTACTTTTTGTCGAATTTGATTGATGTGCTCTTCCATTGGGACTTCCCAAGCGTACAATTTGATCACCTAAAAGAAATCTTTTAACTACTACAAAATTGACTTTAAACTCAAATTTGTAAACGAAACTCTTAAGAAATCAGGATTTCTGTGTGCTAGAAAATGTAGGTTTAGAAATTGAAGCTGAAGAGAAGAGAAGATTGAAGAGAACGAAAGAGAACGAAAGAGAACGAAAGAGGAACGAAGAGAACGAAAGAGAACGAAAGAGAACGAAAGAGAACGAAGAGAACGAAAGAGAAAAGAAAGAGAAACGAAAGAGGAACGAAAGAGAAACGAAAGAGAAACGAAAGAGAAACAAAAGAGAAACGAAACCTTGATCCCGTTTAGCATCTCGTTGACAAGCTTTGTTCGCTCGTCTTTCAATGTCATTTGTTGCATCTAAAGTTTTACTTTATATTTGTTCATTCATAAAAATGAACATTTTGTGTACTATACAGTATTGGATTTCTTCTTCACAAACCTGCCATCTCCTCACGAACATTGATGAGAAAATGTTGACGGGCACGAAAATGATCATCACGACGATTCCTGGAGCTGCAGCATAGCCAAGTGTATGGAAGAGATAGATTAAGGCAAGGGTGATCTGAAAAAAAAAAGAGAATACTGTAAATCCTGTAATAGTACCCCATCGTACAGTCGCGTAGTCGCAAAAGTTTTTTTAGTATTTCATCTTTTTTCAAAGCTTTCAAAAAAGTACTTTCAAAAAAATGCGTACTTTCAAAGCGCCTGTACTTTCAAAAAATGCGTCTTTGGTGTCAAAAAATAGCTGAAATTGAGGGCTATTTTTTTTGATACCTAAGCGCGCATTGTAGCATAAACCAGTGTCGAGAAAAACTCGTTCAAAGCTCGACTACGCAACACTCCGCACCGTCATTATGGGGGCTGGGGTATTATTACAGTATTTCCGATAGGTTATTGCGTTAAATGCGAAAACTCACCTGAAATGGGCAACTCCATAATTGTTGTATTTGTGGGGTGATCAGCTGAAATCTTTCCACATCGATCGCCATCAGATTCACGATTTCGCCAACCGTTTTGTCTCTTCGTGCCGCATTTGAGAGTTTCAACGTCTAAAATCAAGCTTTGATTGACTTGATTGACTTGATTAAGCTTAATCAAGTCTTAATCAAGCTTAATCAAGCGTAATCAAGTCTTAATCCTAACCTAACCAAAACCCGGCTCAAAAGTCTTAACCAAGTCTTAACCAAGCTTAATCAAGCCTTAATCAAGTCTTAATCAAGTCAATCAAAGCTTAATCAAGCTTAATCAAGTCTTAATCAAGCTAAATCAAGTCTTAATCAAGTCTTAATCAAGCTTAATCAAGTCAATCAAAGCTTAATCAAGTCTTAATCAAGCTTAATCAAGTCTTAATCAAGTCTTAATCAAGTTAATCAAAGCTTAATCAAGCTTAATCAAGTCTTAAATCTTGTTTTTATTTCAAAAATACGATAGCATTTCTTAAACTACATTCTTATACACTAAAACTCTTCAAAATCCCCTCCACCAAAGTTTTAGGGCTAAAGTCATCAAGATAAAGCTGTAGGAATTGACTAATTTTATCGTCTAAACAATATTATCTATCTAGATTACTGTATTTTGAGATTAGTTTGAAAAAAATCAAAAAATCAACAAATTTTTCCAAATTTTTAACCTTCTGATAAACGGCCGCTGTCAGAACTGTCTGAAATTTGATCCCCATTCGAAACATGATGTAGAAATACGAATTGAGAACGAAAGAACGAATCTAAAATGTTATATGATAACTAAATAGAGATTATGATAGCAATTCTTGAATTCACCTCCGATGCGGTGAACATCAACAGTGCGTAGGCGATTCCCTGCCACAATGGAGCGTCCTTTTTCGAAATGAAACCGATGAGAGCACTGGAAAAAAGGATAATTGAGAATTGAAAAAGGATAAATAACTTTTAAATAAATAGATTCAAATCTCTATCTAAAATAGTCAGTACAAAAGCTCAGAAGAGAGCAAAGGATTACGGTAATTGTTAGTGCTTTTTTAGGAAACGTTTTTCTTCTAGGATAGCTGAATAGCTGAATAGTTGAATAGTTGAATAGTTGAATAGTTGAATAGTTGAATAGTTGAATAGCTGAATAGCTGAATAGTCTTGTCTTTGCTAAAACGACAGTATTTCTACTATTTCTACTATTCTATTGTAAGTTTTTTTTAAAAAACGAACTTGAGCAAGAAAGGATTCGCAAATTGGAGCACATCGGAGATCATTTTAAGAGCGGTAGCCGAGAGGAATTCCCAGCGAAAAATGCGGAACAATGCAGCGACGACGGATGGAGGATCCGGAAGGGGAGTACTGTAGAGAGAATTCATTCATGTTAACGCTTTCGAAACAAAAATAATATCGAGAATTCATGGATATTTGGGGTACTGTAGATTTGTTTACAATTATATAACACTGAGCGGGTACTTGTCGGTTTTAGCATCCATAAAGCCTCATCTCAGTGAAGCATCCCCATCCGAGTCTTCTCGGTTATCGATTTTCCGTTCGACTGATCGACTGATCACTCTACTCTCACTCTACTTCACTGAACATAATCACCACTCAAAAGTTGTCAATCTTCTGTTGTCTTCTTGCTTAACCGAGAGTTGAGTCTCTGTGGATGTCTAACCGACAAGTACCCACTGAGCTTTACTGTGCGTAACGGCCGATACGTATGGATTGGATAAAGTTTCAACCATTGGCTTTATGAGGTTTCAACCATTGGGTTTATCAGGTTTCAACCATTGGCTTTATGGGGTTTCAACCATTGGCTTTATGGGGTTTCAACCATTGGCTTTATGAGGTTTCAACCATTGGCCTTATGAGGCTTCAACCATTGGCTTTATCAGGTTTCAACCATTGGCTTTATTTGGTTTCAACCTTTAAATGTCTCGGCTGGTTTTGGTTTAGCAGAATGTCGAAATTGCAGAAAAATACGGTCAAATTTGAAGGCAAAAATTTTCCCCAAAAAATTAGGCTCAAAAAAGAGAAGCCGGCTCAGTGACCTGCCAAAGTCCGAAACACAAAGCCCCCTATCCCAGGTCGCGAGCGATTACGCGGTCGCACAAAGAACACCTCGCCAGTGATTTTTCTTTTCTTCTGTAAATGATTCCCAAATGAGATTTAGTGTTAAAAATTTGTGCCCTATGGTTTTCAGGGTCACAAAATCTATGGGCGGAGTTTATTTTGACCCTTTGTCCCAAGAGAAATCACAAGATAATCGAATTTGCTTTCGGTTTTGTCAATGATAGCTTTTTACAAAAGACCCGGAGAAAAGACCCGGACAGAAGAACCAAAATGATTGAAATCTGTTCATTCGTTTGAAATTAGGATATTGATGTGGGGGTATTGACGTGAGGTCCGAATCAAAAGCTTGAATTGAGCTTTTTGGGGGGAATTTGGTGAAAGATCTCTGAAATATTCGTTTTCGAGAAAAACTGGAAACGTCCAAATTAAAAGCAATTTGTCGTCGAGGTGTTCTCTAACTGTAGAGCTGCTGTTTTAGATTTTATATAGTAGATCACTGTAGGCCCTGACTGATGTGATGTGACCCATGAAATTGCCTTTAGAACAACGATTTTTCTCCGGTCAACTCACCCAATTGGTGTCGCTTTCGCTTTTTGTTGATAGCCTGTAAATGAAATTTGATTGGATTGATTCAAAAAGTTTTAGCTTACCAAAAATCTTCGGCTCCCACACGTTGTTCCAATATCGAGAGAGGTATTCCGTTGTTGAAGCCTAGAAGACTTTCAAGTTAGAACTATGAGAAAATATTTTTTCAAAAAAAGGAAGGTACCACAAAATACAAATTATCTCAAAGGATAAGCACCGCATTTAGCCAATAAATCACTTTGATCCTTAACTACTTTATTTCTGTTGTAACTACAGTGATCTCAGGTATACTTTGTGCACAAATCTACAATAGCTTGATGCCACAAGAAACAGTGAATCCAATGCGCTAGAAGGGATTTGTTTACAAGTTTTGAGCATACTAGTAGACTCTAATATGGACTATAGATTATCTAAATCTATAATCGATATTAGATGCAAGAGTATCAAATCAAGGCATCAAATCCTCTCCACTCACCTCATTCAAATCGTACAAATCATCAAATTCGATGTCCTTTTTCGCGCCGATTGCTGGGATCGGGTTAAACCACCTGAAAGAAAAGCTTTGAAAGGCTTTGAAAGATTTTGAAAGGCTTTGAAAGATTTAAAAAGATTTAAATGCTAAGGCTAGCCAGTGGCTTTCATCTGGTCTTGTCTGGAATTTTAAAACAACTGAATTTTGCGTTAAAATCTTGACTTTGGGCTTGGCTTGACCCAGAAATTTCGTCCATTTTGTCAACTCTAATGGCTCTAATTACTCAAAATGGCTCTACAGATTTACAAAAAGTTTTTTCTTTTGTTTATTTTAGCCAAACACTCACCAAAGTGTCAATCTTGAGAAGAAAGAGCTCTCTAATTCTGGGCAACGCTTCTAAAAAAAGGATTTTTGAAATTTTTCAGCAATTTTTCTTCATCAACCTCTTCGCTTTTCAAATCCTTTCTGCGTAGATCGGCGAAAAACATTAAAAACACGTGCAAAAAGGCGAATGGACAATAGATTAATGCAATGAAACACCGGAATTTCTCAGAGGAAGCAACCTGGAAAACGATTTTCAATGTATTCTCAGCTAAATTTTGGTGGAAACACACCCTTTCTGGAGCACTGAATTTATCATTTTTCCTCCTACTGCAAGAAAAATGAAGAATTCGGTGCGCTAGAAGGAGGTGTTTAAGCTCAACAACCCCGTACAACAACCTCGTAGGGCTTTCACTAGCGCACTGAATTCTTCACTTTTTCACAGCAACGATTAGTTACTTGAGAAAACTGAAGAAATTAGTGTGATAAAGAGGGTGAGTTTATACGGACACTACAAAATACGGAGTTCGTCATGATTAGATCAATTGATCATGATCAAATCAATTGATCTAATCATGACGAACTTTTTCAAACAAACCGAATCCTCATGCAACATCCTTGACCATTGATACATTTCAGGTAAAGAAAAGACAGCGAAAATCGTTGATGTGATGTGAATGATACCTAGAAAGTGTAGAATATTGTTGTGCTTGTATCTTTTTAATCTCAATTTCAATAAGAATGTGCTTTTGCTTAAGAATGTGCTTCAATCTTTTGAATTTCCTCTTCCAGTACAATCCCAAATTACACATTCAACCCTACGCTTAAGTATCTTTATGACAAACCCGATGAAACCATTCCCGTTCGTAGGCGAATCTCGTGAGAAATCGTGATTCCACCCTAAAGAAATATATTGCTTTTTTTGTTTTTCAAAAATCTCCTAATAGAAGAGCCCTATAGAAGCGTCAGGTAGGCTAAGTTTACACTCAAAAAAAAAATCGCTCATATTTTGACACGAGTACGTTTATTTCTGCGTGCTTATCTCTGAAATTAACGTAGAGAAGATGGAAATGAACTTTACAAGTTCATTTCCATCTTCTCTATCATTTCCATCTGTTGTTTTTAGATATAACATAAAATTTCAGCTTTAATCAGCGCTTAGAAGAAAAAAATGATTGTAAAATGATGAAAAATCGATTCTTTTTTTTTGACACTTTTCAATCATTTTCTCCTGGTTAAAGCTAAAAATCTCTGTTATATCACACACAAAAAAATCAGCTATATTTTCTAGTTTAATTTGACAAATAAACGCGAAGAAACAAAAGTATGTTAATAGTAATAGTATTAAACAAAAGTAACAAAAGTAACAAAAGTAACAAAAGCAACAAAATGCTGAGATGTGAGCGTTTATTTGAGAATGAATTTAGACTAACTTCTATAAGGTTTTGATGATAATATTTACGATAATCCGCTCACCCAAGTCAACGTCAACAAAATCGGATACAAATAGTCGACACCGTGTTTATTCGTTCGATCAAAGAGAATCCAAATGAAAAGCGTCAATGAGATCGCCGTGAGAATCAGTGAGGAAAGCTTAAAAATTAAATTTTAATATTTAATGTATTCAACTTTAAAACCCACCACTTTCAACCAAAAATGAAGACTCCTTTGCAATGGGGGATATCGAAGGGAATTTCGCTGCGATTGGAAGAGGAAAGCCTGAATGAAAATCGTTATTCGAGTATTTAAAAATCAATTAATAATCCTAGCACTAAATCTAACAACTTTCTTGTCATCCTTGTTACATTGTCACTACTTGTCATCCTTGTTACATTGACACTACTTGTCATCCTTGTTACACTGTCACTACTTGTGATCCTTGTTACATTGTCACTAGTTCTCATCTTTGTTACATTGTCACTACTTGTCATCCTTGTTACAAGCTGTCTTTATACGCAAATCAAAATCCTTTCTTAAAAGTGTTGACTCTGGATTCGAACTTGCCACCTAACAGTCGTTCGTTTAAGAAGCAAACGCGTCACCTATTCAGCAATACATAAAATTATTGGACTTTCTTCTTCGCGTTAGAACGTTAAACGTCTTCGCGTTTTTACTCGAGATCTACACACTTTACTGTTAATCATTTCGCACGCCATTTAAAATACAAATTTTCTTAGCTTAATACCTTTGCGATAAAGGACTTTTTAGTCTTTTAGTCTCTAAAATCGAAGCATTTTCTCTGAATTAAGCTGAAATTTGAATCAAGCGTTAGTTTCTCAAAAGAATTCCTCGTGCATTGATAAATTTTAAATTTGATAGACTGTGTGTAACTTTCTGATAGAAAGCTTTTAACCAAAACTGAATTTCCCTTGTAAACAGTAAATTTCAGTAAAACATTAAAACAATAAACAGTAAATTTCAGTAAAACATTATTTCAGTAAAAAATACTAAAAAGTAAATGTCAATTTCGCTATTGTTATAAAAAGTTTAAAAAACTAATATATTCTAATAACTAATATAATATTCGAATTCTTTAAATTCTCTAAATTATCAGCAAATTCTTGTGTCAAAAAGCTACTAATCTTTGAGAATCTCTTTTAAATTTTCTATTTGTTTTTGATTTGAGCCGTTTTTTATGTTAAAATGTTTAGAAATGTGTTCAAGGGTTAATTAATTGCAAAAAAAATGATTTAGAAATTGTTTTAGAACAAATTTATGTAGTATTTTAATGCGAATTGACGTGCAAAATAGTCAAAAGTATCATTTTGCGAATCTTTATTTCTAATTTCTAATTTATCAAAATCGGAAGCTGATCGGAAGCTGATCAAAACAGCGTCACAGCAAAATAAGCCCCTCTGCGGTTAAGTTTCTATGTGTTTCTTATGCTTATTGGATACAGAATGAAAATTATCTACATCTTGCATACTTTTCGATCACTTAAAACACTTAAAGCCTGATTGAAAATCGTTAGTCGAGTATTTAAAAAACAATTCATAACACTTAAAACAAATTTGGTGTCAAGAAAAGTCCCTGTTAAGAAAAGTGGCGGCTAAAAGAATGCTTTTGCGGTTTCTTTTGTTTCTTTGTGTTTCTTCTTTTCATTAGATATAGAACATAAAAATTGGCTGGCATAAAAATTATGTTGAATTTTTTTTGGAGCCGTTTAGAACAAATCTGAGATAAGAGAATGCCAAAAGAGATAAACGAAAAACGAAAAAAGGCTCAAATCTTTTTGAAACGATTTAGAAGATTCGTTTCTTTGGATTCGAACTTGCTACCAAATCTTTTTGAGCCTTTTTCGTTTTTCGTTTTTTCTTTTGGCATTCTCTTATCTCAGATTTGTTCTAAACGGCTCCAAAAAAAATTCAACATATAGCTAATTTTTATTTTCTATATCTAATGAAAAGAAGAAACACAAAGAAACTTAACCGCAAAAGCAAAAGCAAAAGCCTAAGCCGCAAAAGCATTCTTTTAGCCGCCACTTTTCTTACTTTTTAACCACCTCCCTCCAAAAAACCCACCGGTGAGAGAATCCAGAAAAAGATCGTTGGCACCCAGATGAGAATCGTGTGTTGGAAACAGACAGAAACATTCGGTAAACCGCTTGCGAATGGGGATTCCTGAAGAAGAAAGATATTGAATGAAAAATAAAACTCAAAAAAACCAATTCACAAAGAATTGTTGCTTCAAACAACAAAAAAACTCACCGATAGAGTGGCGTTTGGTCCGCAGAGACGTTCGATGCTCTCCTCGATACCCATTTCTACTTTCGAAGGCCAAATGGGCCTAAAAAAAAAGACTTTTTTTTGATTTTCCAAAGAAATCCCAAATCAAAAGAAATAAAAGCAAATCAAAAAGCATAAAGTTATTTAAAATTGAAAAACTTTATGGAAAATGAAAAGTGAAAAAAAATTTAAAATTTAAAAGGCTTTGATTTTGGAGTGAAAAAAATGTCAAAATTCTGCCATTTTTCCTTTCCGATTATCAGTTTCAGAAATCTGTCTCTTTTCTTTTTTCTTTTTTTCTTTCTTTCTTTCTTTTCTTTTCCTCTTTCTCTTTCTCTCTCCAAAGCCCCAAAAGCAATGTGATTTCCATTTGGAATTAGACTCAAAAATCGCAAAAATATTCGAAAATCTTTTTGATGACAAATTCGAGAAGTGAAAAAGGTTTTAAAAAAATGGATTTTTTTTGAATAATTGTGGGTAAACGTGGGAGTAGGCCAAATGCGACCTTTTTTTTGCGCACCCGGACATTTACGCATTTGTCCCACTCCCGTAAATGTATGAATTTTTTGTGAAAAAATGACGGCGAAAAACATTTGTCTAGCATAAATCCCTTCAGAAAGGTGATTTCAGTGCACTAAATTTGGTGTAATTGCGTCAAATTCCCATCTTCTAATTGCTCAACTCAATAGCAAATCGAAAAAACAACCAAAAAAAAATAACGTAAAGCCTCTAAAGTTTCCGTTTTCTAAAACGTCTCCCTTTTCGCTTTCTACCGTAATCTTGTCTCCAATTTTTCCCCAGTCACTTTTTGCGGTAGGCTAATTTCCGCAATTTTTGGCGCAACTGGGCCATTTGCGCAACTCGCTATAACTTTCTTCTGAGTGGATCAATCTTTATGATATTGGTTTCATTTTGTAGATCTCAATAAGTGCAACAAAATGAAACCAAAAATCATTAAAGATTGGTGCACTATATACATCTAAAGATACAAAAAGTGTGGGTAGGCTAATTACAGCTATTTTTTTTGCGCAACTCGCCATAACTTTCTTCTGAGTGGATCAATCTTTATGATATTGGTTTCATTTTGTAGATCTCAATAAGTGCAACAAAATGAAACCAATATCATAAAGATTGATCCACTCAGAAGAAAGTTATAGCGAGTTGCGCAAAAAAATAGCTTTAATTAGCCTACCCTCACTTTTTGTATCTTTTGATATCGTTTATGGATTGGATTTTGGATTGGATAAAAATTGAAGACAAGATTACGGTAGAAAGAGAAATTGTACAAATTTTAAAAAATAGGTTACGTTATGGTCAAGTAAAAGCTGAATGAGGGATATTCAGCTGAATCGCTGAATATCCCTCATGCACTTTTTGGTGGATATTATGATAAAAATTTGAATCCAAGTCAAAGGTTTTAAAAAAGTATTTGAAAAAAAAAGAAACTCTTCAATTATATCTAGCTTTCGATCGGGGAAAGTTTCAGGGAAATGTATGCAAATCTCAAAGAGAAAAAAAGCAAAATTTGTCTCTTTCTCTTTTTTCTGATCAAAAAATTTTTTTTTGGCCAATGGTGATAAAATTTTTTTTTTTTGAAGACAACAGAAAAACTACAAAAAACAGAGAAAGCAATGAGACAAAGACTAAAGCTTTTTGAAAGCTTTTTCCCTTCAATTTTTCAATTTATCATTTCTGCTTTTTCAAGGGGGAAATTTCTCGACTTTTTGAATTCTGACGACTTCAATTTTTTTTTCTTTTTTCATCCCAAAGAAACGAATCTTCTAAATCGTTTCGAAAGGAATTTTAAACTCAACTCTAGGCTTTTTAAGTGAGTAAAAGGGATTGTACAAAAATCCTGAAAAAGTTCCTTCCCGCTTTTGTCTTCGTTTTTGTCAAAAATGTAGACAAGAATTTCGAAACATCAAATTTCGGGAATCTATTAAAAACGAGAATCTAAGCGATTATCGCTGGTTTGTGACCAAAAAGAGAAAAAAAAAGAAGAAAAGAGTGATTATTTTCGCACTTTACAAAAATCTCAGAAAGCACAAAAAGCACAAAGACTCTAGAGAAAATGTGCCAGAAGGGGAGGGAAATGAATGAAAAAGTGAGTGGAAAAGTGGACAATCGCTCGGGGGGAAAGGGGCCAAATCAAATGTGATTTGTGCTTTGGCGATTGGAAATCGTGAATTGCTGAAATTTGAGGTAAATTCGAGACATTTCCATGCAATACTTCCTTCTGTTTAATGCACTTTCTAAAAGGCATTTATTTCAGACAAACTACCGTAATCCACCCAACAGTTCTCATTCGATCAGTCCAGTTTTTTTTTTTTTTTTGTAAATGCAATCATTTGATCTTTTCAAATGAAATTTTAGTTTTTCATTGATTTCTGAACCCATTCAAATCATTATTCTTTTGAGAAATCACTTCTTTTTATGTAAACTTTAAATCCGAAACTTTATTAGAGGACACGAAATAGAATGAGGGTAAAAAGAACATGAGGGTAAAAAATGAGTATCATTTGACAGACAGAATGAGAAAACAATAAAGAGATTCAAAAAAAAAAAACAAAATATTCACATCAGATTACGGCCAAATAAAGACACAAAATAAGAAACTTATCCATAGAAAATAATACCTAAACAAAGTGAAAATTTAAAAAAAATGGCACATATTTTGAAAGTTTAAACTTTTTCTTTACAACGAATCATTTTTCTCGGTGTTTTCGAGTCGATTTTTGAGCTAAAAGAGGAAATTCGTTACATTTTTGAAAAATTGTCATTTAAAGAGCTCTTAAACTAAATATTTTGTTATTCAAATGATTTTAAGACTGAAATTTACTGCACAAGACTTGTACTACAAGCCCCTAAAAGGTTAAAACCGATAGAAACCAGTTATTTCTTCGAGTTACAAGCTTGTTTAAACAAATCTTGAGCAAATTTTACATTCGTTATACATCTTGTTCTTGAAATTTAAATTTAAACCCCAACCTGTTCAGGTAACATTTCCCGATGCGTGAAAATGTCGGATCGAGCCAAAATGATCGGCGGCGATTTCGGAGACGAGTGGAGACGAACCTGGAAATAGAAAAACGGTAAAAGATATAAAGAATTGTTATAAAATTTGTGGTTTTAGGCTATTATCATAGCTTAATACTATATCCAATCCTATGTTACAATCAAGAAACCCACCCAATACTCTGTACAAATGATGGCACCCCGGTAGTAGGCATCGTAGAGTTCACTATCCGTCCAACGAACGCGAATCTGAGAAAAAGATAAAACACTAGTTGTAGTTTCTAACTAAAAAACACTATAATCAACTCAAAGTTTTTCTTGAGATTGTTGAGATTGTCCTAAACCAAGATCGATTACACTTTGTCAACAAAGAACTTGTTGAAAAAAACTTACCTTCGGTCGTGCTTTTATCATAAAAACAACCCACCCTCGCTCCACTCTGATGATATCGTCGATCACATTTCACACATTCACACGTGACAATGTCCTCAAATGGTGTATTCTTCGAGAACGATCCATCACAGAAGTCCAACATCGCGTACTCATTCTCGAATTTCTGCATGACGAACCCTCGTTCGACTTTCCCTTCGCTATTCAACGAGACGACCACCTCTTCGCCCGGGCTAATCTCACTCGTTTCCTCATCTAAAAAAGTAAAATAGACTCAAAAAAGATTCGAGTTTTACAGCAGTTCTTTGATAAAGCAATAAAAAGCAAGGATATACTCTTCATCCTAGAGCTGTACGTTTTTGAAGGCTAAATGGCTTCATTTACATTTAAACTTAATTAGTATGCCAAGTTGAAACAAACCACTATCAAAGTAGTTCTCATGTTTGTCACATACGAGCACGGCCACCAGCGGGTATTCACGTCTCTCCACAAACATTTTTCCCACACGACCACACGTTGCGTGCACGTAGACTGGCTAAAATGAAACAAAATGAAAGTTATTCGCTCAAATTTGACACTTATTAAGCCAATTTACCTCGCGTGATCCCTCGCACGCGGCACATTTGATCAATGATTCGCGGAGACGCTGAAATTTAGATGAAAATCGATTCAATCAGGTTGATCTTACTCCACAAAGCTCGCACTCGTATTTGGCAACCTCGTGCTCGACTCCAAGCGCGTCCATGTAGTCAGCCGATAGAGTGACTCTAAAAAGATAGATTTATAATTCTATTTCAAATTCGCCATAAAGAAACCGTGATAGACATCAAAATTAGCACTCAGAAGCTTGACGTACAAATATATACAAAAACTAAAAACTCTTGCCGTCGCAAGATACTAAAAACTATCTACGGTACGTTTGGGCTACGTGACGCTACTATGCCATGTTCTTTGTCAGAAGAGTTACCGTAATTTGCACCAAAAATCAATTAATCCACTCACCCGTCCTCGTTGGGGTATCCGTGCTTTGGTGGTGGTTGATAGCTTGCCATCAACCTGGTCGCCGGATCGTCGAAAGATGTCCGACGAGACAAAATCGCGCAGATCACATGCACCCACGAGCTTTCCCGGCCGGAAACACACCGCATAAAAGCACCTAAGCGAATGAAATAGCTTGACAACATTGTATTTGCGAATACCTCCTCGTAGTTCACAAAGGTGACATGTGGTGCCGCGGATAAGTTCCGGGCTTCTCTTTGAGCATCGTTGGCACAACCAGATGTTGTTATCTAAAGAAGAAATTGATCAAAATCAATAACCGCTTAAAACTCACCACTTTCCATCAACGCGTAACAATTGCGGTGAACGGTGACCGCACAAGAGTCGCACGTCAATAAAGAATCCTAAATGAAATGATAATGACAACTTGTTTTTCTCAAAATCACCTCATTTGGGTCGGGAATCTTCGGCATTCTTAATGGATCTTTGGCAAAACACATAAACGATATCAAACGTTGAGAGCTAAAAAGGAGAATTTGAATTAAATTGATATTATTTGACAATAAACTATCTTTAAATTTGCCAGGTTTCAAAGGCTACAATGAAACGAAAACCTTTCTGGGACGCTTTTAGTGAAGACTAGCTGTTGAACTGGTTGAAAGTATTGACAAATGGCACAATGCGGCGCTTCCAAAGCTCGTTTCTCGTTCCAACACCGTTCCGCGTAGAGATTCACCGCCGAGGAGGCCCAGAGACCAACTAAATAAAACAAAATACACCATTTTACCTTTTTAAAACTTTTAGAACCACTGAAAAACCTACCGAGTCCTTTATTCGCGAGTTTCTTGCGGGCAGTCGATTTGTCGCCTTTCTTCGGCGATTCCTTTATGGTGGCGGGGTGAATCGTCGTGGCATCTTGCCGGAGCGGCGAGGACGAGTCTGTAAATCACCAAAAATTATGGATTCACGCAACTTATTTACAATCAATAACGGTCATTTTTGATGCACACAGGCTTTGTTTTTGCACAAAGGAAAGAAAAGCATTGCAACACACCAAAAATGACGTTGATCAGGGCAAAAAGTATGTGAAACAGAGACAAGATCACGCTTTTTACACAAAAACCATTAGCATTAGCACATAAATCTTTACATTTCAAAAAATCTCCTAACTTGCCCCCCACAAATCAAAGAAATGCCAACAAAAAATGACCGTTATTTGGTTGTTTGGGCGGTCCAAAGATGAACCAGATCCCGCATTTTTCATCTTCTTCTCACCCTTGCGCCGCTTTGTCGTTTCCGGCATGGAATCCTCGGCATCGGCGGCGATTTGTAAATGGTTTCGCTTGGCGTTTCGGCCTACAAAGAAACAAAAGATTGGCAATTGCCAATTTTGTTCACCTTTAAGCACAATTCTCTTCTCGGCGTACCAATAGTTGAACCATGCGTCGAAATGCTTCGGCCGATATTTCATCATGTACGGCCGCATGTCGATCTCCACCGAATCCGGACGGCAACGACAGATGTGAGCGTTCTAGAATGCCGATTGATTAAACAAACCTAGTAGAAGGTATATAATTTCTTAATTGAATTGTTACTTTGGTATCTAGAATTGTTTAAACTAAGTGTAGCACCAATTTTTACACAAAATCGACCTTTCCGTAGTCAATCCAGCGATCCGAGGCGAAATTCGTGCTTTCCGCGCAATTGTAGCCCGAGTTGAAGCCCATGTGGTAACCCTGAAAGAAAAATTATCACATATAAGTTGAAAAATCACTTCAAATCTTAACCAATACATCGAAAGCTTAAACCCACATGTGGAAAAGTGATGATGAACTCGTTCGGTCGTTGAATCATCGTCCCGTAGGGAATGTTGTGACTCCTCAGGATCGTTGGTGAAACGATGAAATTCTTATGCCTAAATTTAAAACTAAATTCAAAAACAAAGAACAAGTGCCTTAAAAAAGAGCGGCAATGTTGTGACTCGTCGGGAAACGTTTGTTGCATGAGACGCTCGAAACGGTTGGCAGACTCGGATGAGATCGCGTACCAATACTAAAATGATAATACTGGCATCAGATGGATGTTTTCTTCAAGAAAGACGACGCTCTTGTGTAATCTAGCTAATTTTGATCATTGATTCGTAAAAGACTAACTAAAACTATCAAAAGCTTTCATCACCTTTGGTTCACCAAAATGCAAATAGTTGATTGAATAGAGATCCATGTCTTCGGCGTGCCTGTAAAGAGCTTGTGTAACAAGTCAAGGTTTACGTGCAAAGACAGAATAGGTCCAAAATCGATTGAAGTGTTAAAGTTTAATTCAATTCAAGCATTTAGCTCGTCAGGACGTATAAAATCTCACCACGGAAACGTCGTCTTCCACATCCCAAAATACAAGTAAACCGAGGTGACTCCTTTGATGTCCACCTGAAAAAGAAAAACATTACAATTTATGGGCAAAACAGATTTTTAAGTCTTTAAGCTTAACAGATTTTAACGTTATTTTAACGAAAAAGTTTTACTCACCCCCGAATTTTTCGTATCATCAAGAATCGTGCCCAGTTGAGCCATGTTCCACTCGTGCACGTCTTTCTCATAGATTGAACCTAAAAATTTGTATTTAAACTGTGTTTCAAATTTGAAAAATTGTACCTTCCGTATCAGCTCCGTAGATCGGTTCACCTTTGCAAATCGATCGCCAATATAACCTAAAATTGTTCAACCATTTATTTTCACCTATTCCTCAACAAACCTTTCCAGCTCGGCTCCTTCCAAGTTTGGTTTCGGGTTCTTGTATGTTGAGCTGAGCGCAAATTTCCGAAATTCCTTCACCGAGAGTTGTTTCTTAAAAACCTAAATGTTAATTTTTTTATATTAACTTGCACTTATAAAAGACTATTTACTAACTTTTCTCAAAAATTCCATTACAAACTTTGTTGCTTTTGACGTAGATTCCCTGCGCGCCGTCGATCGTCTCTTTTACGGGTCTAAATCATAACACTAAGTACCGTACTTTCAAGTCTAGCTTGTAAAACTAGTATTTTTCTATAGATTTTTGATACCAAGAAGAAAACTTACTCTTTTATCACATAATTATCTACATCCGAGTAGTCGGTGCCGCGTTTCGGTCGTGGATTGAACTCTTTCGGTGGCACGATCTAAATGAAATCAATAAAAAGATCAACTTTATGTCATGTCTAGATCTTTGTCTACTTTCAAAATGCTAAAGCCAAATTCGGGTGACATTTGTTCTACAGTACTCAAGATTTGCTCACCTTCGCAATTCCGCAACTGAAATGCGCGCCGGCTTGCTCAATTTTCTTGATGTAGCCGGGGAAATCCTTGAATTCTTGCCACGTCGGATAGAAAACCATTACCTAAAATTGATAATAATACGGAATTAGTAGATTATGCAAGTTTATCTCTAATAACATGGAAAATGATAACAATGACTTAAACTCCAATTCTAATTACACAAAAATATTTTTATCTTCATCAAATTTTTAAAACTCACTTGCGAGGTGCCAGTCGGCTCATAGGAGTCGCCCTTGTAACTAGAAAATATAGCTTTATTGCTTTTTACTTTACACGGTGCATAGAAGATTTTAGTAAGTATTTGAAATTTGCTTTTAAAATGATTTCAAAAGCTCCAACTAGACAGATGCATCGGTTTGGCTTTCAAAATGTCCTTGTTTTTTCAAAAATTCACCTTTGTCCACTTGTCGACGGAATGTCCATTGCTTTAATCAAATCGTCCGCCTCGTGGTCATTCACTGAAAAATACTTTATTTATAAAACAAAAACCAAAAACAAGACACTCGTGAAAAGTGAGAGAAAATAGTGGTTACCCGTTATTTACACGTAAATTTCACAAAAATTGAGCAAGAGAGATTCCATGAGATAAAAATACAATAGATTTAGCAAATACAAACAGAATTTCAAAATGCACTCATTGGGGAAAGGGGTAAAGTCGATTTGGTGGTGATGAGAGTGTGAAATTTCTAAAAGATAACTTTTTCTATAGTATTCTAAAATTTTTGAAACGAAAACGATTTTACCCCTTTCCCACACCAATTCTATAAAAAAAACAATATACAACCATATCAAAATATCATATTTTCAAAGCACAATTGGTTCGTCGACAGCTTGCGCCATATAGAAAGCGTCCTCCAGTTGCTTATCATCGTCGTCCAACTCGGCCAAACCCTTTTCTTTCTCCATTTTCACCACATTACCATACAACATCGAGTTTTCCGCTTTGAAATACCGCAACAACACGATTTTGCAATGCTCAGCGATCATCGCCGCTCGATTTCTCTCCAGCGGATCGACGTGTAAACAAATTGTCATCAATTTTAGCACCTCTTTCAATAAACCCTCCTTTATTCGATTGTATGCTGGCTGACTCGTTTTCTTGCAAATGCAAAGTCCGTAAACATTCTTGTGAACGAGTTTCGAGCACAGCACACAGCAACCCTTGAATGGCCAATCTTCAACGGCTTTCTTTTCTTTGAAGAACTCGTTCAGCACGATCATCTTCACGTAATCGACTCCGGGGAATTCGAATGGTAACTGCAAGAGGCGACCGTTCGTTGTAGCCAACCATAACAATTGCTTACTCCCGAGTAGCACGGACATTTGTTGAATACTTCGAAATTGCGTTTTTGGCCTCAGTATTGATGATTTTCTGTAGATCATCGAGAAGAGGATGAGTCCGACCGCCCAAATGTCCACTCCGCCCGTTCGCCACGGGATTCTCAATTCGACTTCCGGTGCTCGATACCCACGTGTGCCCCAAGCATTGCAGAAATACACTGGTAGCTTTTCGCAATATGCGCACATTTTCGGTAAGCCTCGACACGTACACTTCTTGGTCGTGCCTGGCCAACATCGTTCGAGAATACCTCGGATAAATGACATTGTCGCAGTTGATGAGTTCCTGGTCAGCAAGAAACAAATGAAATGGGTAAGGAAACCGGCTCGAAACTTGTCGCTTTTACCTGACAATGCCGTTGAAAGAACTTTCTCAACGAACTTCCCCAATTTCTCATCCGGAACATAGACCCCGTAGCATTCGACGATTCGTTTCGCCTCATTTCTCCCCAAAATCCACTCATTCACTTCGATCTCTTCTCGTTTTATCGGTGGCACTCGTTGCTCTTGATCTGCGAAGCTCGCCAATCCAAAGTCGATCAAAATAAAGCGATGCCGAATCGGATCATATACAATATTCGCTGGTTTCACATCATTATGCACGATGCCCAATTCGTGAACGAAGCTCAAAGCCGATATAATATTGTATGCGTAGATGATCATATCTTGTTCGGTCATCAAATGGCGTACTCGTCGGATCTTCAACACATTGAAGCACTCCATGAGGATGAAGAAAGTCTCACCGTTTCGAATGAGCGCGTAAACGGGCACGATGTAGGGCTTCTGACCGATCATTGACAGCGCTCGAAATTCGGCTTTCACCGCGTTCAGCCTCGTTTTCCGCGCGATTTTCTTCACCGCAATCACCGATTTCGTGGCTTTCAGCTGGCATTGTCGCACCAATCCGAAAGCGCCTAAAAGTTGAGTGATTAGAAGGGTTTTTTCAAAGATGCTCTAACATAGTATCTGCAATAAAAAAAACTCTACATGTTTTTCAAAAGTAACTACATAAGTTTAAAAGTACTTTAGAAAAAAGAAAGTGTTCTTTTATAGGGGTTATGATAACGTATCCATTGTTTCTATGTTGAAAACAACGCATTAACCCTTCAAAACAGGTAAACACACCGGATTCTCAACAAAGAGCCAACTTAGACTTCGCTTAGATTTAAAATCAAAACGATTACGGCAACTTTTCCACTTTCCCCTGAGATTCTCGACTATCGGCTTAGATTTAAAATAAAAAACAATTACGGTAAATTTTCCACTTCTTTTTAGGTTACATTTTAATCAAGAATGAACAAGAATGAAGTTAACAACAATGAACAACGCACCTTTTCCGAGAAGTTTCCCGACCACGAAATTCTCCCTCACAAAGCGATCCTTCGTCGTCGTCGGCTTGTAGACGGGCCGTCCGATCGGCGCTTTTCTCGGTGGGGCCATCTCGTTTGTCGACGTTGAAGGCCAGTCTGAAAACAGAAACTATAAATGCAACTTAAGCGTTTTAATACAATTTTAAAAACGAGAAAAAAACGAGTACGTACGACAAATTGACTTGAGATTTTTCACAAATTGGTTCAGTGAAGGATTTGTGTTTTGCAAATTCATTTGCATACTGCCTGGCAGCCCTTTAAAAAGCTTTCTCCTCAATTTCCAAAACAAAAATTGGGGAGTGGGACAAATGCGACCTTTTTTTTGCGCACCCGGACATTTGCGCACCTTGCCCATTCGCGCACCTTTTTTCGCGTTTTAAAAAAGCTCTAAAAAGCTAATATTAACCAATTTCTATTCCAAAAGTTGTTTTTCTAGGTAATTTTAGAGCGTAGAATCGAAATTTTGACATATCAGAGCTTGTGGAAACAAACGGACGGAGTTATACAAAGAGAAAAATCGACAATTTTCTGTAATTTGATCTAGCCGTTTTGTCTTTCAAATTGGTTCCACACGCTCTGTTATGTCAAAATTTGAATTTGACACCCTCAAATTACCTAGAAAAACAACATTTGGAATAGAAATTGGTTAATATCAGCTTTTTAGAGCTTTTTTAAAACGCGAAAAAAGGTGCGCTAACGGGCAAGGTGCGGAAAAAAAAGGTGCGCAAATGTCCGGGTGCGCAAAAAAAGGTCGCATTTGTCCCACTCCCAATGAAATCAAAAAAAAGTTTAATCCAATATTTCTAGATACTCAATTTGCTAATTTTGAAAGGTATAAAGACTTTTTTGTAGCCTGTAGCCCCCCAACCACCAAAGTACCCAAGAATTAAGATATTCAGCTAACAGCTATTAAGATATTCAGCTAACAGTTTGAAAAATACAAATTGCCATAAAGTTGACATATATTTAAAACTTTTTCAAATTTTTGTTTAGTTTTTTGGCGCCAATCTAGATACAAAATTTTAAAGTTTCGGTTAAAATCAAGCAGTTAAATAATAAAACTTAAAATATCTCTACTTTTAAACCATTCAAAATGGTTAAACACTTTGAAAGGCCTTTTTTTTGCATTTGGTGCCTTTATGCAAAAGTTGGCAACCGGCCAAAGCGAGCCTGATTGTCAGGGTGCCGGGAAATGAATGAAATTGAATTCACGCGTCTTTTTTTAATAGCTTTGATGACTCAAATATAATGAAAGCTGAAGATAAGTGGAGAAAAGTGAGAGAATTGCTTACTATATAAAGCCATAAAATTTTTCGAAAAGGAACTATAGTATTTTGGGCAGAGATTCTTTGAGGATCAGTCTGTGAACAGAACTTATGGTACTTGTGGAGTATCCGGGGGGGTCTTTCAATATCCAGGGAGGTAAAATTTTAAGATCCGGGGTAAACTTTCAAAAACCAACCAAATGCCCAAAAATGAATATCGCATTCTGAAAAACAAACTTTTGATAGTATCCTAGTTGGGGGACCACTTTTTTTCTTCAAAACCACCTGTGGGTTGTGGATCTGCCGGACCCACATCAACACATAAAACTATCTCAAAAAATGGTTTTGAAGAAAAAAAATGACCCGCCAACTAGGATATTATCAACATTTCTAATAATGACATAAAAAATTTTTGTAGAAGTTACGTTTTTGATCGAGTATCACCTCGAATCACGTAATCAAGTAATCACCTCAATAAATTGAATATCTTTACATTTGAAGGGAATTTGCCACCAAATCACTTAAGCGGCTGAATATCTTTAAAAGGGGTCGTGTATAACGTATATAAAATTTTCCCCCCGTTGACGCCCCCCGGATACTCCACAAGTACCGAACTTATAAATGTAAATTAAGCAGAGATGTTGTTTGGTTGAAAAGGTAGATAAAACTTTACAATGGAAGCACTTCAAAAATTCAAATACATTCGTGAGACAATTGAAAGTGTGACTATGATGAACTATCCGATTCCCACCAACTTTTTAGCCCCATTGTCTGGTTGATCGGAAATTTTCAACAAGTTGCATCCAACGATAGCAAATGTTTGAAGTAAGAAAGATACCATAATCTCGCATCCCAGAGAAAGATAGGATAAACTTTTACACAACAGTCAAATGAAGGGTAGCTCCTTTAGAAGTTGCTTTAATCAAGAGAAAATACTCTAGAATTTGAATCGAAAGTTCAATGCTAAGAAAATTGTAAGAAAAATGTAAGAAAATTTCGATTTTCAACCTTTACTACAACTACACTGGAGATAAGAAATCGCTCTGTGCGAATTCGGCTAACTGCGATGGTGCATTCGCTGAATTAGGTGATCCCTTGAGTTGACTATGGTAGGTTGGTCAACAAGATCAGTTAATTACAATATTTACAGACGACTACAATACATCACCAAAACGAGATCTTCGTTGATTAAACCCTAACGATACAGCAATGGAAAAAAAAAATTGCATCCTGTGAGAAAGTTTTTTTGCTAAAATGCTATTAGGTTGATGCATAAGTCTTTTTGTTCCTTTTCGTCTGCCGTTTCAAGCCAACAAATGCACCAATTAAACTACGGTTGAAAAACCAATTATTTTTCTGCAAAATAACATCAAAACGGGTTTAAAAATATTTAATGCCTGGATTTTCTTGAGAGTATGAAGTCGGGTAGTCAAAAAGGGCTAACTCGATGATGCGGTTTAGACACCTTAGCTAAAGAAAACCTATCTTCGTGTCAATAGATAAAAGATAGAGAAAACAAAACGTTTGATATTTCGCCAAAATTTCAGAGAAATTCATTCAGCCAATTTTTCCGTTGAGTTTTTTATAGATTTTTACGAAAAAGGCGTTTTTCACTCTCGAATTTGCTTGAAAGTGAACCGAAATTCATTTAAAAAGATGCAAATTGAACAAAAAAACACTTTTTTTTATAGAGCAAACTATGGATTAATTGGTGAATTTGTTACTTTTTAACAGAAGTACGAAAAAAACGAAAAGACTTATGCATCAACCTATTAATTCAGCGAATGCACCATCGCAGTTAGAATAAAGTGTCTCTTATCTTTTCAATAGCTCATGAACAAACCTATTAAAAATGAAACATTAAATATTAAATTAAACAAACTACAAACTACAAACTAAACTACAATCTTTAACCAGCAATATTATTGCCAAAATTTTAGCAAAAAAAAAAAAACTTTTTTCCCACTTTTAACTTTGATATTCCGAATCTGAATCTCCATATTTTTGCTTATCAAATAGTATCAATCTTATTGTAAGCGGACAAGCGAATTGCTAAACTGCTGATAGAATTGGTCGCTGAATAAACTTACTAGATTACCAGATTTGACAAGGTGCTTATTTGAATTACTACTTTAGTAAGAAAATAGTATCCATAATCCAAAATGGCCCAATTTCCCATTTTCCATTCAATGATTGCTCTCTTTCGAACTATTTCGTTCACTTTTTTAACCGAATCGAGCCGTTGGCAGAAATAGCCTCTTCTCCTCCAAGCAGATGTCAAATAATGCCCGAACTGTATCAATCGGTAGCGATATCAAAGAAAAGATCATTCATTTCTCTTCATTTGTCACTTTCAAAATCTTTTCTCTTTACCTATTTTTCAATTTAGATAATTTAGCTGCTTTGAAAATGTCTCTTTAGCAATTTAGCTGCTTTGGAAATGCCTCTTTTCGAGCGAGCTTTCTCCTTCTTGAACTGCACTCATTGCAAAAAGTTTTGTGAGTTTTAAAATCAACAATTAACATAATGAAATTTAACAAAAGACTAACCCAAAGACAAAAGACAAAAGACTTTCCATTATCCAAATGAAATCATTTACCCTTTTTGATTTCAGTCGGCTACTACGGAAAGGTGCTTTCATGTGAGAATCGCTCGAATCGCAACTGCTTCGATCATGAGGCCGTTTGTGGAAAGTGCATGTGAGTCACTTCATCTTTAATAACTTTTAAACAAGAAATTTTAAGCCAAAAGTTGACTTGACTTTGGCTTTTTTTTTGTCTATTAATTATGGGTAGTAATTGTTTACTTCAAAATTATTTCTCAGGCACGATCATGCCGAATCGATTCACGCCATGAACAAGCAGCGCTACATCACCGAATTCGTCGCTCGTCGTCACGAGATTGAGGGTGAGTGATGTCTATTAATTACGGTAGTAGTTGTTTACTTCAAAATGCTTCTGTTAAAGTTTGTACTTTTCAATCAACTATTCGACTCAAAAACCAATTGCTAGGCCTGCATTAAGCTTGTCAGATCGGGCTGAAGCACAGAAAACATTAGATACAAAGTAAAATTCTATCTTCGAATTCTAAAATTCAGAAAAGATCCGTGATTTCCTCAACAAGATGGAGACGAAATTCTTTGATGGATTGATTGATCGTAAGGCTGAGACGAGCAATGCCAAACCTGCAGTACGTCGTTGAGCTGATCAATTGATCTATATCAATATAAGTCACAAATCAAGATCTTTAAGTTTGTAAGCTGACAAGAAGACAAATCTGAGATAGTTTATTGATTCTAGAATCAAAACAATTCAACTTTAGGTTGTTCCAAGCGAGATCGCGGTATCTGCTCAGAAGGACAAGGAGGACGATGATGATGAAAAGAGTGCGGACAAGAAGGACGATGATGATGAAAAGAGCTACTATGCAGAAACTCAATGTTGGTTTAAACATTGAAAAAAAAAAGACATTTTGCTAATAAAGTATGTAGCTATTATTGAATTGAACTATTTCCAGCCCACTCGAGACCGGTGAGCTACTTGGAGAAGGTGAAGCCAGGGATTGTCGCCAACAAACCACGCTCTCTTCCCGATGATGAGATTCGTGAGGTAGCTTACATGAATTATTAGATTATTGTTTCCTATTGCTTCGTGTAAATTCTATTTTTGAAAAGTTTATTCGTTTAGCGCACTGCACTTAAGAAGAAAGAGATCCGTGAAAAATTTTACAGAAAAGAAAAATAGGAAATTAGAGTGTATGTACATTTTGAATAGAGGAAACGTTTATTTCTTCTTGTAGACGGCCA